AATTAATTGAGGTACCATTTAATTTATTTTCACTGTTTCTTCTATCTTTTTATTACTTTCAAGGTGCTATAAGGTTTATTACATTGATATATTAAATATGCTGCCCCAGTTTATGTTTCGTTAACTTTACATATTTTTTATATTACAAAAATAATTTTAATACATGGGAAAACATTAAGAAAAGGGCTCAAAAATTAAATTCTTTTTTAGATTGGATTCTGTATTTTTATAATATAATACCTAATAATGAATATACCTGCATTCATTACCACGTTTATTTCGACGGCTCTATCCGTATAGACTTTAAAGTGGATTATCCCAATCATGTGTAAACCTGACCGTTTATTTCGGCAATCCACAAGTCAAACCAAAACTGATAACGTCAAAATCTTGGACAGAGGGCTCCTTCGAAATTAGAGGTCAGGATTAACACAAGATTAGGATAACCTAATTTGAGGTCTATCCGGATAGAGCTGTAGAAATAAACACGCTAATTATATAAGTAAGTTTGGGGATATACGTCCTTCGTCATTATCCAGTAAATATACAAATTACATTTATTAACTAATCGCTATTACTATTAGTATAATTTGAAGATTCTGAATCGTTTCCCAAGTTAATAATCACTGTTTCAACCACTCTTTCCATGCATTGGTCAGTTGTTAAAAAGTTGCTTTGCATCTGCGATCTTAAAAGTTATGTTTTTTCTGGAAACTTCGTTTTTAATTTGCGCCCAAATTAACTCGATTGTCTTAAAATCGCGATGGTAAGGAGGCAGGCATGAAATAGTCCGATTGGTAGATTTAGACCCGTATCGTCAGTCGTCCCTACAATTGTAGGGCGCGTTTATGGCTTACTTGATTGTCATAGTTTTCTACTTCTCCGTGTCAAAACTCTATTTTGAGGTTATGTCACAAATATCTATTTGCATCAAATTGTGCTTGCTTTTGAGTTATATCATGTTTTATCTGCCTGAAATTTCCTACAATTTAAAAAGAAAACATATCTTCACAATAGGAGAGCGCTGACGCTGACACGGCACAAGTGTAATCTAGAAATTTTTGAAGGATAGAAAGGAGTACGACAATCAAGGAGGCCATAAATGCGCCCTACAATTGTAGGGACGACTGACGATACGGGCCTTAGCCATTTTGTCGATGACATACTTATAAGCACTTTTATTGCCCTTGACCAGATTTAAAAGTTCTGCTTTCGTTGTCAAAGGGAACATTATGCCTTCCTAGCCATTCCTGTATTTCCCCTTTTCTGTTTCCACTGTTTGGTGCTTTATCAATACGCCTACTATGGTATGAAGCATTGTCCATAACAATGTCAGCGTTCTCTTCTAGATGGCTTATAATATTTTCAAACCATCTTTCAAATAAATTGGCATTCATATCGGCGTGGTAGTCTCTTGCTTGTTTTGATTCAAATATCAACAGACCGTCTTCTACGAAGCCATTATCAGATCCGATGTGTAAGATAATTAGCCGTTTTCCTTTACCTGAAGGATTATTTTAACCCGTGGAGAGACCTTCCAGGAAGGCTTGCCGAGGATGCTCAAATGATGAATTCACCCATACTTTGCTAACAGTGTGCCCTGTATTGAGCCAAGTCTCATCTAGATCTAGTATATACGTCTCCAACATATTATCTCGTCCGTTTCTTTCAAGATACTATTTCGCTTCCTTCCTACAAAACTAAAAATTACATTAAATCTTTAAATTCGTTTCTTGTGAAACGTTGTCCAAAACTACTTTGGCTCTATAGTAACCTTTGGGAGGAGAAAGACTTGCTTCTTTTGTGCTCTGCCAAAATTTTATATAGGTACACTGCTAATCGATGCTCCTGAAAACCAATTAATACATTTTGCATATATTATACGAGTATATACATGCAGTAATAAATAATAAAAATAATTGAAAATAAGTTTTAAAAATCAAATGTGTGCAATAGAAGTAGCTATCATATTAGTGTGTAAGATATTAAACCAAAAATATTATTATTTGGAATCATACATCAAACTAAAAAACATTTTAAATTATACTATACTATAAGCTAAATCCTCACCTGATGCTCTTGAAACAAAGGCTACACGTTCTGTCTGAGTTTTATTTGGATAGCACTCCCGAGAAGCTATATAAATGTTTATAATAGTTTCTTTTCCAGAAACCGACACAGCTCTTTTTGTCCGCACGTCACAGACCTTTGGAAAGTATTAAAGTGCTAATTTTAACGAAATGCGAGTCAATATGTCCGCATCACTAACGGGGCTTAAGAATGCTTTTCATATTATTCATATAACTGACATAGTGATGTTATTGGATTAATAACCAACTCATTTCTGTATGGCCGCTATCTGTGAAGGAAGTATGTTTGAGTTTTGACATACTTGAAAATTATTGAATCTTGAACTATCTACCCATCTCTCGATAGCCAAATCCATCTCTAATTCGACCCCTTAATGACCTGCGTCACCCTACCTTTCAACTTTCGCTCAGCCAGTGCAGATTGAGGTGGAACCAACCAATTCAGACTAGGTAGAAGGATCCAGTCAAGAATTTGTTTGTCTCCTAATTCCTATAGTCTGTAGTGAGAATCAAAAAGCATTTTAGAAGTGCACTTGTCATAATTCAATTTGCTAACAATCCTGTCAATAGATTCGTATCTTTTAGTATTATCTTTTAAAAGTGCGAGTAATTGCAGATAATTGTGGTTACAGATCCGCAGGATTATTACCTAACTTGAAAAGTGAAATTATGTCGGTTTTTTGATAAGTAGATTTTTTATTACATTATGTAGGTTTTCCAACCTGACGTCAACTTGGAATGAGCTGTCGTCCACGGTGTGGTCGTCCACTTCAAGCGCGGACTGAACTATTTGCACACTAACCTCTACGTAGTCAACAAGTTGACATCTAATCGTTTTTTCTACATTTTATAGGTTTTTTACGTAATAACCCTGCCATAGTCAAATGAGTAAAAATTATATAACATAACTATGCAATTTTGGCGGCAAACATCCTTCTAACAGATTCGAATTTGTTGGGTGGAACTACAGGCCACAGGTGTAACATAATACAGGGTATCCCAAAATTGGTGGACAATCTTTTTATTTTTTATACAGGGTGTAAACGTTATGCTAGTAATTATTTAAATGGGTGATAGATGGGGTTAAAAGAGGCAAAAAGTTTCATATAACATATGGGGGTCAAAACGGCATTTAGAGAAAAGCGACTTTAAAGTAAGATAAAATCTGACAACGCCGCAATGCCAGACGCAAATTACGACGGAACGCAGTGTAAATAAAGATGGGGTTTGTTATTTTTGGCTCTTAGGTATTATTTCATTATTTGATAATGTACTCGTAAAATGCAAACAATTAAAAAAAAACGGACTTAACACTAACTGTCTCAGCGCTTCACCTAGTGTGTGAAAGTTTATTGAACGTATTAAAAAAATCCACTTATGAATAGGGAACACAATTTTGATACATACATTGTTTTTCTTTTTAAAACCCACACTGCACTTTTTGTATTTAAAGAAGGTGTTCAAATTGTCGTCCTCCACTTTCCACATAAGCTTCATTACGACGAATCCAGTTTCTTCTTACTATAGGTCCTCCAAGTTGTCAATTTATTATTTCAGCCGCATTAAAATTTTTGTCGCGAAGTTGTGCTTCAGTTGTTATTGGACCAGCCCCATAAACAATCCCTTTAAGTTCTCCCCAATACCAGAAATTTCAACCGATCCAGCGTTTTGGATAATGTTCATTCAAATACTGAATGACGCCTCTAAAAATGTGTGGTGGTGCCCCGTCATAAAGAAACCACAAATTCTGTCTCCGTTGTAATAGCATGTTGTCTAAGGTCTGTTCCAAAAGTTCTGGTAGGTTATTGGCTAGAAAACTAAGGGATCCTTCTCCTGACAACTTTGGGGGTAACTCGAAAGGGCCAATTACCTGATCGTCAAGAATACCCGCCCAAATATTTATTTTAAAACGTTGTTGGAAATGACCTTCGCGAATGGTATGAGGATTTTCTTGGGCCCACGTGTGAGTATTATGGAAATTTAATATCCCGTCTCGCGTAAAAGTACATTCGTCCGTCGCTAGAATGTTTTTAAAAAAAATCCGGGTTTTCGATGTTTTTGTGCAAAAACCACTGACAGAATGTTAGTCTGCGAGGATAGTCTTCTGGTTACAAGGCCTGCACTCGTTGTACATGGTAGGGATGAAGCAAATTTTCCAGTAGGATTCTATGGACTAAGGTATGCGATAGTCCTACGCGGCGGCCTAATTCCCGAATGCTGATATCTGCATTGATCTCCACGATATTTAAAATTTGTTCCTCCTGCTCTACAGTAACCTGTCTTGTCTTTCACGAGTGCGAATAATATTAGTGGGCTGAACACTTCCTGTATCTCGAAGTCTTTGGTACACTTGCACAAATGTCGTTCTGTCTGGGCATACCCGTTGGCGAAATCTGTCTCGATAAATTTGAGCTGCAACATTTGAATTCTGACGAGCTTCACCGTAAACCAACATGTCGGCGAACTCTTGATTCGAGAACATTGTAAATAAACACGACCACGTAAGCGAACAAAAACAAAACAACATACTAACCACTGTTACCGCTTGAGATTGATTGCCGGTTCGATAAGAGTGATGAAAAACCGACGCGCTGTTGTCATGTGTGTTTTAAATATTTAATTGAATGAAACTTACTTACTGACTACAAATTTTGGCTCAACTTAGAAAAACTTAATGCCATTTATGTGTTAATTACCCAATTTAAAAACGTTTTAGATTAGATTATAAAAATTAGTAAGATTATGGTGATTGTGGTCGATATGAAGCACTTAAAGTTGTAAACTAGAAAGCCATTTAGACAAAAATCTATTGACCTTTGGACCACGGGTCATATGAACTTTTTGACTTGTTTGGACCCCCTGTATTGATAAGTCCTACGCCGCTGGTTGTTTGTTCACAGGTCTGCCAACGGAACAGTTAGGGGAATTTCATTATTACTGCGCTTTATTTATCTTTTGCTTTGACATTTGAGTTTGAGATAACTTCAGTGATTTTTGTGGTAGGTGTAACAAGGTTTAATTTGTTCTATATTTATTTCCCTATTTTTAAATAATTTATAGCTGTTTTATCAAAGCTACAAAGCTTATTAGTCCTCCATTACACTATAAATCCAAAAATGTCTAAAGTAAACGATCGAGACCGAGCACCGAATTATCAAACATACAAACTAGTAATAGTCGGTGGTGGTGGTGTTGGAAAATCTGCTATCACTTTACAGTTTATACAGGTGAGTTTATGTAATTTTTGGCAAACAACTCCACTCAGCAACCCTTTTTGAATAAAATTTTATGGTTGCTTCTTTAGCTTGCAGTTCGGATTTTATTTGAAATATGATATAATCAATCTGGCTATGGAATCAAATATCCTTGCGACAATCCCACATAAAAATTGAGTTACCTAAGTATTCTGTTGTTTTCAGAGCTATTTTGTAACTGATTATGACCCCACAATAGAGGACTCATACACCAAACAATGTGTCATAGATGATATCCCTGCAAAACTAGATAGTAAGTATCAACTTGAGTGAAAAAATAGATATACACAAACCTTGAAAAAGAGGCAAGAACAGTATTGGATTACATATGTTTGACATCATATTCAAAATTATAGCACTAAATTGCACCAAAGAATTCTTGATTATTCACCTTCCACAGGTGATGTTATTTCATCTTTTGCATGAAATTGGTACATAGTATAATTATACCTTTGTATTACTAATAATTATTGATATCTAATAAAGATAAGGGAATTAATACTTATCACAGGTTAAATTTAGTGAAAAATTAAACAAAAGAGTGTGATGATTTTATTTGTTTGACTTGACAATGATTTGTATAATATTATAGGAGTATCTTGATAAGGATATCCTTAAATTTAAGGTAGTGCTTAAGTTCAATGCCTATATACCTTACAATTCATAGAAATGCTTATTTTCTTATGGCTAGTGTACTGTGATGACAAATGTTTTTGCAAAGTTTTCATGTTTGTTCTTGAGATATCCCTATGTTTACATGTGCTAGTATGAAAAAGAACACTGTTCAAAAAGTATTTTCTCGCCTTGTTGGGGACTGAATGGAATCCACTGAAAACTATTATTTATGATTAGAATTCAGGTTTTTCAATGAATAAAAAGTAGGTTGACTTTGCACCCCCTAGGTATCATTATCATCAGTTCTTAAATGATTATGTTTGGCACAAGTAAGTCCCCCTGAACTAGTGACCAATATGTACAATAGAAAAATTGACTGGATTTAGCCAGCCAAACAGACTCATGCAATTAGTCCATACTCCAAAGTCCACATCTGTTTGATGGTGGTGATGCTAGTTTTCTTTCCTCCTCTAAGTATCTACCATCTGACAACAGCGCTAAACCACACTAGTACAGTAACTCAAGAGAATCGGCGATGCAGTCGCGTGTCACATATACAAATATTTCTCAAAGCTTCAAGTGCAAATCTTAGGGGAAATCTACGATGTGTGAAACATGGACTTATAGGTGCGTAAAATTAGTGGGGTTCCCCACACCCTACAACCACCAACTCCTGATTTTAAAGTTACAAATTTTTTTCTGAAAATGATCAGGTGCCTCTGAAACATCAAAAACGAAGTTTGAACAGCTGTATTTTTTTCATGTGTTTGCCCCTAGCTGCGCCACCACTGGACTGAATTTCAAAAACTGTGAAGCTTTTGCATCCTAGGCATAGAGTGACACTGTAAAAATTTCATCAAAATTTGAGCAGTACTTCTCAGGTTCTAGGTGTTTATAAGATTACTGGACAGACTGACGGAAATGAGTGACATGGTTTGCTGTGATGTACATGTCATATAACAACATTCAAAAAACAAATCTTATTCTCGAAAATTTTTGCGATTACAATACTTTACATTACATCACTGCCACTCGGTCTGGAAACTGAAAGGAAAGGGGGCAACTGTGAAATTTTTGAAAACCATAAGGCTTTTAGTAAAACAAAAATTTGCTATAATATTTATTTACAAACACAGGTCATAGAAATCTTCTTTCATGTTGATGCAAGCATCATCACATTCCTTCCCAGCTTTTAGAGGCCTATATTTACATATTGCATTATTAATAGTTCATTTTCTTGAATAAAAGTGATTATGTTTGGGAAGAATGTGCAGAGATATTTTTCACTAGGCGAGGAAGTATAGTAATCGCGAAAGAATTTAGAAACTGGGATATTATGTTTTTTGTTATTTCCGTCTATCTGATCATATGATCCATTTAATTCTTTCGTTATACATATTCGTAGCCAATGTTTTTCTAAGAGGGACTAACTTGTGCCGAATATAATCCCTTATGAATTAATGACAGCATTGCGTAGGAAGTGCGCGGTCAAGCTACTTGAAGCGATTTTTTTAATATTGTTCCATGATAAGAGTTTTTCCAGAATGTATTATTTTATGACTTATATAGCCATCCTGCAGTCAACGTGTCCACACCCGACTTTATTTTATTATACCTAGAAACGTGTTATCCATTAGCAAAATAAATTCCATATAATGATATTCGATACTTTCTAATGTAGTTGATTTTCACTAGTACGAGGGATGTCTTTTAAGTTCTGCATATGGAAACATAGTAAGCCGCGCGGATCGAACGTCAGTACTGAATCTTAACTTCAAAGTTTCACAACGATACGTGCAGTGTTCTCACTACAGTGAATTTTTAAGTGTCACCAAGTCATTAGAAAAATGACCGAGAATATTTTCGCGCCATAATTTATAATTATCGCAACAAGAATGCCTTGCTGAGTTACTGTCTGTTTTCGGCAATGAAGCGCCACATCAGTCGACAATTTTCCGTTGGTATGGAGAATTCAAACGTGGACGGGTGAGTCTTAGCGACGATCCCAGAGTGGGTGCACCAAAAACGGCAGTCACCCAGGAAAACGTCGATGCTGTGCGCAAACTCATCATTGAAGATAGACCTGTGACATATGGCGAGGTTGAGGCGTCCTTGAAGATCTCAAAGACCTCAATTCAAAAAATTTCACTTGAAGAATTAGGAGTAAGAAAATCAGTTTCTCGTTGGATACCCCACCTGTTGACTGAAGAGCAGAAAGTAGCCAGGGTTAATTGGTGTCAAAAAACGCTTGACCGATTCAATTCCGGAAACTTAAAAAAGCGCATAGAGATGTGTATTAATCTTTGTAGGAGAATACTTCGAAAGACAATAAAGTCATTTAAAACTACCTACCGTGTTGTTTTAATTCCATATGCAAAACTTAAAAGACATCCCTCGTAAACTGTGAAATACATAATAGGTTGATCATTTCATTTATCATTGCTTTCAAGTTTTGGACACTGCTGGACAAGAAGAATTCAGTGCTATGAGGGAGCAATATATGAGGTCTGGAGAAGGGTTTCTACTTGTGTTTTCAGTAACAGAAAGATCCAGCTTTGATGAAATATACAAATTCCATAGGCAAATATTAAGAGTTAAGGATAGAGATGAGTTCCCTATGCTCATGGTTGGGAATAAGGTAGGAGACTCAGACATATCATTCATGCATATTCAACATAATAGTGTTGCTAGTAAATCATAGGACTAATTGTTGAGATTTTATTGTTTGTGCTGCCTGTTATTTATTACATACCTTTAATTAATATTATTCTATTATTTGTGATCAATTATACATTGTTGATGAAAGTAAAATTCACCCTGGAATTTATAAAAAAAAGTTGTGCGGATGATAACAGAGAAAAAGAGTACTAGTGTTGCCAAAGTTCAGTTCTTAGTAAGGGCACAGAAAATCTAAATCTAGTCCTTTCTTATTGGTTTAGCTGAACTCTTAAAGTAGGCATAAAGGAATCCTACTTGCAAAAAAATAAGTGCTGAATATGGAGTTCAGAAAACAAAATATAAGGTGCATTATTTTGATAAGGATTATAAGAGATATCAAATGTCTTTATCAGAAAGTTTTAATTCAATAGCTCATTATATTGGTCAAAGGGATGAGCTCTTGGGATACCTTTAAAAACTCCACATACAATACCCGTTATTTTCAGATCATTGCATGCCCTTGAAATTGTCTTAATCTTTTACCATTACACTTTGAATGGTACTATTCAAGTTATAGATGAGGCAAATTATGAAAAAACGAAAAGCTTTTAAACGTTTATGGTGATTTATAAGACCTCGTACGGCTGAAATTGTAACGTAAAGCTAAGTGATGCTACAACTTCCGATTGCGTATTTCTTGGTTTATTCACCTTTAGATCAAAGTGTACATAGTTACAATGACAAAAAGCAAATTAAGCTTCTGCAGTTGGTCTAAGTCAACATAAAAGATTATGTGTTTACCTTTCTTTAGATGATATTATGTTTGTGTTTGTTACAATGAACTTTAGCATACATGTAGATTAAGACACGTAACATATATATATATATATATATATATATATATATATATATATATATATAGGCTATTTTTTATAATAGAAAAATGTCTCATTTTCATGAAAATGCACAATAGTTGATATATAGTGATTGGCACCTATACCTTCTGTGGGTAAAATCGCGGGACGGAAAGCTAATAGGTACAAAATTGTTACACATTAGAGTCCTGATTTCGGACTTTTCACAAAATCCATTTTTAACTTAAATCCACTCTAAACAATATCATTATTTTCAATGTTTAGGTACATATATGGCAGAAAACTTCAAGAAATTTCAAACAAGTTTGCAAGTGCCCTTTATCCCTGTTAATCCGGCTCTATTGCAAAATCCATAGTTAACAGACATCTACCTATAAAATTCTAGCCATCCAGTGAAAAACAAAGGATTTTCATACAAACTTCTGAATGCACTTCTTAAAATACATTCTTGCCAAATTTTAGGTTATAGTAGAAAAAACAAAGGACATTCATGGAAAATTGGAAAACCCATCGCCAGGGTCCGCTTCAGAGTTCTGTGCGCCCGGAGACAAAGCATAAAATAAGCGCCCTCTCCCGATCAGTGGCGGCTCGTGAGGTAGTGCCACGGTGCCATGGCACTACCTTGTCTTCTTCAAAAAGAATATTTTTTTCAATCTTCAATGTTTTACTTTATTTTTTGCTTTTTCATTTTTTTTTTTGGTATAAATTATATGAAGTGACAACACTGACAACGTGACAACACCGCAAGCACCCGAACCACGCGACGAGATATAAAGCATGCCTTGACCTTGACGTCATCAACTTGTGCCAATGTCGGGCCGGCCCAAATAAAAAGAGAGAAATTTTACCAGCATCGCATACGAGCGACAGAGATAACGCTACAATACACATTTTTATATGAGGTGAATAGCGAAAGACAAGTATAATTTGTGCCAGGCACATCATCAGTCGTAATTCGTTATCAAATGATATCGGCGGTGTTTTTGTTCGGTCGGTCGTTTCGTTATGATTACGTCTAGTGCTGATTTCGGTCTTTTTTTACCTGAAAAGTGAGAAATAACGTTTTTGTTTAGTACGTCTAGTGTTAATGAACTGCTCTGTTTTGTGATCATATTTTTTACTGTTTTATTAAAACTAGTGAAAATGAATAAAATCGGGATATTAAAAAACTCATTTAGTGGTTTTTCGCTGGATCAAAAACTGCAAATTAAAGAATTAGGACGGCCAATACCCGATTTAAAAATTGAGAAACAAAGTGGTAGCGGACAAAAATCGCGCTGTCGCAAATTTAATAAAAATGTGTACGATAAAAACAGCTGGATATGTGGTTGTGAAGAAACGAATAAACTATTTTGTTTTGTATGTGTTCTATTTGGAGGTGACGAGACTTGGTCAAAAAAAGGTACAGATGATCTTATACATATATGGGATAAAATGAAGACCCACGAAAAATCTAAAGTCCATATGAATAATGTTTTTAGCTTTTCTATTCTTGGTAAATTAAATATAAGGACTCAACTCAATTCGGCTTATCGCAATGATCTAATTAAACATAATAATCAAGTGGATAAGAATCGATATGTATTGAATAAAATTATTAATTGTATAAGGTTTTGTGGAGCATTTGAGTTAGCCTTAAGGGGTCACGATGAAAAGGAAATTCGGAAAACAGAGGCATATTTAAGGAGCTGGTGAATTTAGCGCCGAATTAGACAACGAATTGAAAGTCCATATTCAAAGTGCCAAACTTTTCAAGGGTACCTCAAAAACAACTCAAAACGAGCTTCTTGAGTGCATGCTAGATGTTTATCATGAAGAAGTTAAGAAGGAGATTGCAAATTCTCCTTTTGTTGCAGTAATTGCCGATGAAACGCTGACGTAGCCTGTGAATTTCAGTTAGTTATTATTTTCAGATATTTGTGTAAAGGACAACCAGTTGAGAGATTTTGGAGAGTTTACGTCCCCGACGGACACGATGCCAAATCAATCGCTGCATGCGTTTTAAATGTTGTAAATCCATTAATAGATCAAAATCCAAACAAATTAATAGCTCAAAGCTATGATGGTGCGTCTGTTATGAGTGGTGAATTGAATGGCGTTCAAAAGATTATTAAGGAAACTTATCCACTTGCAAATTATGTTCATTGCTATGCACACCAGTTAAATCTAATTATGACAAGCGCATGCTCTGTCAATAAGCAGGCTAGAATATTTTTCCATAATTTATCTGGATTGTGCTCTTTTTTTTCGACGTCTCCTCAAAGAACAAAAATTTTGGATGAAATAGTTAATCGCAGATTGCCAAGATCTTCCCAAACACGTTGGAATTTTCAGTCACGAGGTGTTCATACAGTTTATGAAAATAGGAAAGACCTGATTGAAGTTATGGACAATATAGAAAGTACTTCACGCGATTCTTCGTCGATTAATCAAGCCAGTGGGTACAAATTAAAGCTGCAAGATACAAATTTTGTATTTTGGCTAAGTATATTCCATAAAATAATGCCACATGTTGAAATTGTCTTTAACCAATTACAAAAAGTATGCACCGATTCTGTTAAGGTCAAAAATGATTTAGAGAATTTTGAAGCAGCAATTCAAACTATACGAGAACAAATGGATAGCATTATTGACGAGATTGAACGAGTGCAGAGAGAAACTGATGAACCGGCAAGAAAAAAAAGGCAAGTTGAAGAAGGCAGCAAAAAACGGGAAGCGTTAGAAATATGCGATGCAGTATTATCGCAAATAAGAACAAGATTTAACTTTTCTGGGCATTTAGTTGCTTCTAATTTATTTGTGTCTGAAAAGTTTTCTGTTTATAAACATCAGTTTCCTGAAGCACATTTAAATGACACATGCACACAATTTTCATTTTTAGACAAAAACAGGCTTAAAACTGAGTTACAAGTATTATATCAGAGAGAAGAATTGAGTACTACTTCTGGAGCTGTTCCACTATCCATTTTATTGAACGAGGAAGGATTAAATTGTACGTTTCAAGAAACTCTTAAGCTCTTAAGTATTTTAATCACTATACCGATGTCAACATCTGAAGCAGAACGCTCTTTTTCAATGCTGAAACGGATTAAAACTTTCCTCAGAAACACAATGAAGGAAGAAAGGCTTAGTGCTTTAGGAATGCTGTCTGCAGAAAAACATTTTGTTAGTGGCATTGAAATTTTAATAATAAGGTAATCGAAAACTTTGCTACCAAAAAAGAAAGAAGAATGGACTTCATGTATAGAAAACTTTGAAGTTATAGGTACTTCTCCACACTTGTTTTATAATTTGGTGCGCGTGTGTAAATAGTTTTATTTTTGATTTTTTTTGGACATATAGATTTATTGAACCTCAAGAACTTTGACCACTAACTATCAGGGGTAAGTTATAAGTTATTCTTTACAATTTTGAATCGATTCAAAATTATGGCTTCCATTCTGGCACTACCTCACTGAATTGGCACGAGCCGCCACTGCTCCCGATAGTAATTGAGAATTTTGCGTCCCTATGACACTACGCTCTGAGGCGGCTGATTCACTCGCAATCCGGCTCTTTCGGAAAATTCATTCGCAACTGATGTCTAAAATATAAACCTAATCCGACCCTGTTACAAAATTCTTTCTGAAGTGACATCGCTGCTTATAAAATTTCTCCCAGTAAACTTTTAGGTATCTAGTAGAAAAAACAAAATACTTCAATACAAACTTGTGAATAACTCTGTCGCAAAATCTGTTCTTAGCTGATATCCGGTATACATAAAATACCTCCTTGGCAGAATTCAGATCCCTAGTAGAAAAAAAAACAGAGAACTTTCATAAAAAAAATTGAGAACACCCTCAGCCCTCTTACCAGCCCTATCGCAAAGTCCGTTCTTATCTATCATGCCCTTTCAATAAATTATCTCCATGCCAAATTTCATGATCCTTGGTCAAATATTTTTCGAGATTCTATGATTATCAGTGAGTGTGTGGTTTTTTTCGCTTTTATATATAGAAATAGTGTATTATTTCACGAATAATATTTTCCCTATACACTGAGAACCAAATTTATCTTACGGCTTGCGTTCAATGTGTATGAGACATAAGTGTGTATAGACACATATGTTAAAAAGAGATGGAAGCTGCCTGGATAGCGAAGCTTTCACCGCGTTGCCTGAGCGTACACATTCTTGGAATGCGAATTGTGTCGAATCTGTTTTGGATTGATTCCCGATCGGTCCTAACGGCGCCCCATTTTAGGTGGAAAGGAAAGGTCAGGATTGCCACAAATTCTGCAACATTGTATCATTGATTCGTTTGACAACACCGCATCATGTACAATCTAACTCAAGGTACCCACCTCCATGATGATAGTGGAGCGATTTTGGTCAGTACTAATCCAGCGTCCTGCGTCAAAATGGTTTTTTTCTGCGCACACGCGGGCAGTGTTGAAAATTAAAACAAAAGATTAAATTAAATGTTCGAACAGATCTCCTTCTATGAACTCAAGCCATCAGTCAAACTTGGTTTTTGCTGTATAGAAATAGTGGATTATTTCACGAGTGATATCTTCCTCATCTATTAGAGTTGGAAGTAAACCAACTAAATCATCTTATAGGTAGATTTAGAGCATCAGAGAGTTGTATGGCAAGAGGAAGCCCAACAATTAGCCAGGCAGCTGAAGATACCATACATAGAATGCAGCGCAAAAATGAGGATGAACGTTGATAATGCATTTTATGAGTTGGTTAGGGTAGTCAGAAAATTTCAGCTGTCTGAGCGACCCCCACTGAAACCAAACTACATTAAAAGGAGTAAGAAAAAATGTAGCATTCTTTAAAGTTGTTTTTCTGTAGATACATGGACTGTTTGATACAAACATCACCTGTACACAAAAGTGACTGGTGTGATGCTTTAGTACATATCATTGGCCTTATTTCTATGATGCCTGATATTTGGAAAAAAAGCAAACAAGGCCATGCTGTAATATCTACATTTTCCTAAAAAAAAATAAAAAATATAATGGGGTGTTTTCCACACCAAAATTGCATTTTTAATTGCTGATACACATTGTTTACAAGCATTTTTGAAATTCGTTGCACTTTTTTCTTTTCTAATTTCACTAGTGTGTTCTGAAAAACGTATTTAAGATTTATGTGTTGAAAGCGAATTCATGTGTTTAAAAGAGAAAAGGTGAAAATACTTAGAATATACTGTTTAGAGATAAAATATTGGTATACTGTAAATTTTTTTTTGGAAAATACCCCATCATTTTTTATATCAATTCAACGATTTTTTGCTTCACCTGTTAGAAAGGCACTTTCATTTTATATTACGCAGCTTTAAGACTGTTCTATAAGCTACATGCAGACTTTATGCTTGTTTCTCAGGTAATTTATCTTTCGAATATAACAAATATACCAAAAATCAAAAATTATCGAACTTTTCCCCTCCTTTGAACTGAAGGCTTATCATAATACCTTGACAATGTTTGTCTTTCATAATCAGAATTTGGCAGAAATATCCTACCTCTTATATTTAACATACATGTAGCTTTTTGCTAAGTGATTCACACCAATCACTATATTGTGATTTTGATGTCTATATAAAAAGTCACTTTTGGATATATTTTCATACTGCTCCGTGCGACTGTTAAGTTATAGTAAAATGTTGATGATAAAATATCAATGGGAAAATACTTATTTCATCCCATTTTTGTGATTCTACCCAAGCCAGATGATTTTCAGCTTTTTGTACATATATTAAGGATAGCAAATCACCTAGTTTTATTTTTTATACGTAAATTTTTTCGAGGTGTTATTCTTATCTGTCTTTTGTGACATATGGGGACAGACTGAACAGATAAATATGTAGATTGCTTTGTATGTTAGTCTGAAGACATGTTTTTTCAATAGCAAAATACTGCCTATAAAATTAAGTTATATGCACCATTTCTACCATCCAAAATAACTAATGTGCATTCCATATAAATGGTGCATAAAGTGTTCATTAGTATTTATTTGGTATAATGTGGATGCTCAAACCTAATTTGTATTTTTAAGTGTTCAGTCTATTCCTAGAACACCTATATATATACTGGATTTTGTCCATTACACAATGCTGGAAATTTGAAATTTCGGAACTATATCACACCGAATTTTTGTGTATGGAATATTCTATGTCCTAATGCGTTTTGCATTCGTCCGGCGACGAAATATTATATATGAATGTTCATATAATCAATATACACAGAAATTACTGACATACATTTTATTTATCTGTGGATTTCTGTTATTTCTAGCTGTAGAGGGATACTTATTGAGCATTTTCTCGTGCAGCTCTTACCAAAATGAATTCCATCTCAAAATTGGACATTCTTTTTCCTTTAATAAATTTGTTGATCTGTGGATCAATTACACAGAAAATGCTTATAAAGTCTCTGTATTGGATTATTAGTTTATGTATGTTTTACCGTTACGATCTCTATTGCTTATGTGTTATAGAATGAAGCTATTAGATTGCTAAAAATGGAAAATACTTTTGCAAATTGCAGCTTATATATTTAGTGGCCTAGTTTCTTGTTGGATCACCAGATTTTTTTATGATGCAATTCAAGCTGTCACAGTAGTGGTATTGTTGCATTATTAATTTCATAGTATAGTCCTTTGCACAACAGTGCATCAAGGCTTTGTCTGTTATAAATTGTAAGGCCTCAAGACAAAATAAAATAACTTTCAATTACTAAGTATTTTCAAAATAATCATGACTTGAAAGTTTACTTTCCTGGACTTTGTATTCTGCTTCATCAGAGTATATTTCTTGTGTATCTATTGTCAGATGTGTACAAGAAAAATCATCATAGTTTACTATTATACCATGACAGCTTTTATTTTACTATTAATTTGCATAGGGTTCTCTACAATGTCCAAGCACAGCCACTTTGTAAATGCTACCATATGTAAAAGCATGACATTTGTTGTACATGCTATGTGCGCATAATAAACTCAATTTTCTTCAATAAAATTTGAATTTGTGATCTCCAAAGTCCAAATTACATAGCTGTTCTTGTTGAGATACCTTTTATGTGGCGCGTGTTCACAAGTTGAAATTAGCAACATAGAATTATGAGAAAGTTTTAATAATGTCAATTAATTACTTAACGAATGAATTAATGCTTTAATTGATTAAAATTGTTATTTTTGGAATATATTTAGTGCGTAATAGTTAGAACATGTTGAAACACAAAAAAAAATGTTCTGCGAGATACTCATAACCGATTAAAGGAGATTGAAAAAGTAACTGGATTGTATTTATGTACTTGTTGAAACTTCTAGCATACAATCCTTACAGAAGAAATGAGCTATTTAGCTTCGACCATGTTATAAACTAAATGTTAAATGGTTTCAAAGGCTGAAAGGAAGTATGTATCAAAAATATTGTGTATTTAGTAAATCTACCAGCTTTTATACTCTATTTTGTATGAAACAATACATTCAAAATTACTTTGCCTTAAACGTGTATATTTAAACGCTTATGTACCGTATCCACATCTATGTGTAATGCATGATTATGTTCGTGTACAGTACAAAATAAAATTAGATCTGTTTGACAAATTCTTCATTCATTATTCATCCACATATAGACAATAAATGATTAAAATTAGCAAGGAATAACATTACAAAAATACATTGCTGCAGACTAGTTCACAACCATTGAGCTGCGCTCACTTGATTGTTGTATAATGACCGAGAACTTTTAACATCTACCAATTACAAGAGTGTTTCCGCTACTGAGCTCTGTCTGCCGAATGCAAGTGTCTCGGTTCTTGTCAAATAAATCCTAATATTACAAAAAATATTGTTAAACTATATAAAAATGTAATCTGAATGTATGTTGATCAGATGTCTGTATCTGATATGGTGCTATATTTTTTGATTTGTGTCTTTGATAAAGTGTGTTCACACTAATTACAATTTATTAATAAATATCTTAATGTCTTGTCTTTGATCGGTTTTGCTTCCACCAGTTTCCTTTACAGATAGCCGGAATTGGCGGCTCCGTTGCAAAAAGTAAAACTTTTTTCAAAGTTATGTTCAGGAGGGCCCCAGAGAACAAAATCGTATCGATTATGAGAAAAATGACCCAACTCTTGATAAAGTCATTCTAGGTCAAGGCATCGTTGGTTGTCAGAGCGGTTCGTGGGACCTTAGCTCTTGAGTCATAGTGTCAGTTTGTAAGTTTGTCAGGTCAGGTAACCCAGAAACCAGACAATTTTAATGAAAAAAGAGAAGGAATGAGAGAAAAAAGAACGAGAGCAAAGAGGGAGAAGATAATGTTTTAGGACAGGGAGGGTTTAGGCATTTTTAAAATTACTGGACAGATTTTGATATGGTCTAAAAATATTTGATTTTTTTAAGGATTTTGCCAAAATGCTCCAATTTTGGTTGTTCTTAGGTCACGAATTAATTTTGATTACAGTGTGAGCTGCGGCCTGTTGTGCTTGCGAACTTCCTCGACTGTGTAGCGCCTGTTTTTAATGTAGTCCCCTAGGTAAGGGACATCGAGGTCTCTGTGAAGAGTTTCGTTAGAGACTTACCATGGGGCGACAGTAATAGTGCGCAACGTTCTGCTTTGCAGAAGCTGCAGATTTCGTAAGTGTATTTTGGCGATAAAACACCAAACCGCACATGCGTATGTTATTGCTGGTCTTATGACTACCTTATAGAGCCGAATCTTGTTAATCAACTCAATTTAGAACGTTCACTTAATAATGGGTAAAGCTGTCGAAACGTAATTGGAATTTAGTTTTTAACGCTTTTCGAATGGTTAATTTTTATCAGCCACCGATACGCCCACTCTACGTCATCAGACCACGAATTCACAGTTGCTGGGACTAGGGACGTCATGGATGTACAGTGAGTACAGGATTGGTACCAGGACCGAACCATGAGGGACGACAGCTGTAATCAGCCGTGTTGTCGACAGAACTAAGTAACCACTATAATTTTTTGACGGGAATCTCGTTTGTTCGGGTCATAGATACGCAGTGGTTTTAAAAAATCTCATAAAAAAATAAAATTCCGGCTCAGTTGTTACAGGTGGAATATGTTAGTCAATGCTTGTAGGAAACCTGAACATATTGGAGAAGTCAAAATTTCCATATCCATCATCACAAGTGGATGAAACTTGGTGCCCTCAGTGTTAGATTAAACCAGTCAGAACAACGAAAATGAAGTTATTGGTGATTAAAAATTGAGCAGTGGAAGTAGCAACTGCATAAGTGCTTCTAAAAGTGATGGATGGATGTCAGTAATTGAAAGAGCTCTCTGCCCCAGGAGGGGCACTTTCATAAAGCATTGATGCACAAGGCTCATAGCATTTGATACTCTTATTAATCCACCACTGGGTGCCCTTTGGTAGTTTGGGTTGTTGATGTGTTTAGGATCATAAAAAAAATAATGAAGTGTTATGGCATTGAATTTGAGGTATAAATAAAAAAAAACAAATATGTAGTTTCATAACATTGAATCATTTAGTTAATCAAGTAATGCTTAATAGTACAATAAATTAATAACATTATATATACATCATACAGTACTTTACTAATGAACAGTTGAACTCTTTTTGCTATGAAAAAGTCCAGACATTGAATCTTGCAGAGCTCTTGAACATGCAATAATACATCTGAATCCTCCAGCCCTTCCTTGCTCAGTTTCTGGCCTTACATGATTAATAAACCCTTTAGAGAGTATTTCATCAGTTGTAGGAGGCTTAGGCCCATCCACAGAGAGTATTATTGGTTTATAAGTATACAAAGGTCCTTCATCTGTAGGTACTGGCAAGAATGTAGTATTTGATCTTTGACCAATTTGTATACCAGTGGAAAACTTTGTAGCTCGACTGGGTAATTTGTCAACACTTTCTTCTTTAGCTTGCTGAGCCTGTTGAGCAAAGGTTTCTATGATATTCTTTGCATCTGCATTTGAAAACATCAGCTCATCTATGAGAGCTTCTTTATCTTGAATCTTCTTCTTTTTTGTTTCTATCTCCTCCATTTGGATCTCTTTTTTCGTTGTTCTTCTAGCTGCTTTTCTAATTCTAACAATTCCTCTAGTTCATATTCCTCTCTGCCGAGTTTGCCTTTGTTTTTCATAATTTGCTCTTTGTTGTCCCTCTTGTATTGTTCTATTCTTTTGTTAGTGTTAACAACATCAATATTATTGCTTAGGTTATATATTATGGACTCTACTTCCTCTAGGTAATCATTATATTCCTTTAAGGTAGCAAAGTCTTCCTCCTTTTTATTGAAATCTCTTAACACACGTTTCCTAATATCGACTTCTTTCTCAACTGCTGCATCTTCGAATAGCTGTACGCGAAAGTTGTTCCTTCGTAGAGGTATTTTACATTCAGGACAACTCCCAGAGCCCTTCAGGAAAAGCAAGTCTACACAACTTTCGCATAGGCCATGTCCACAAACGTTTACCATCATTTTAGCGATGGATTTTGGAATTTTGATGTCCTGCATCTTGGACATGTAAAGTCGTCCATTATTGGGTTATAGCTTGAACTTCAACAAATCATTTAAACTCTACTTATTTGTCAAAAATCTTTGGATTCAAATACAAAAGTGAGGTTATGCTCAGGTTGACTTATTTCCAATGAACTGTCAACACTGACAGTTCATTGCTTATTTCACGGTTTGACAATTGACAGCATCGTCCTTGGCGCTCACTCAGCGACGAAAAAAACAGGTCAGTATTCATTTTTTTTAGGCGTTTACTATGTGTACCAAAAAGAGTTTCGATTCTTTAAGAGTCTGGGTATAGTTGTTACTCGTGAAAGAAAGTTGATTATAGTTGTAGTCAACGTTCTTGGCGGTTACGTCATCAACGACATATGAAATAAGTAAACAGAACGAGTCTCCGTACCATGGGCGCAGACTAATCTTCAGCGCATCTGCTTCTCTCTCCAGATCGCATGAAGTGGGTAATAGAGGACCGCTGTTTTAATTCTCTTCCTGGAAATACTCTAATACATTTAGCACGAGCTGTCGGCCTTCTCCATTCATCGGATTTCCGGGCATTGTGCAATTTTATATTGAAGATTGATAACAGGACAACCCAAATTGCATGCCGATGTCAAGTAAGTTGTCACTCTGATGATTATGATTGAAGGGCACTCATACGTAACGAGAAAGTTTTCGAGACGGAGACACACAGCTAAAAAACGTATGTCCTCGAGCTTACCGAACGAACGTTCACACACAGGGGTAGGTTGCATGTGTATGCATGAGAGAGATGGAGATATATAAAGGGATACTGGTAGTCTTACTTTGACCCGCTAAGAACGGTGACTACAACTATAGTATCTTCGCGCCTGATTGGAATAGTATTCTGATTCTGATTTTTTTGCATACTCTGGTTCTAAAAGGATTCTGCATGTTGTCAGGCCAAAATTGCATCGAAAATTGGTTGAACAGTTTTTTTAAAAAATTCCAAAAATTGATTTCAATATTGCCAATGTTCCTACACGTTATTGCGGCGGCTGCCTGCACCTCTCTCGTACTAAACCAGAGTATACAATGAGCGCGTGTGCGCATGGTTACCAATTAAAAAACAAAGGTTTATAACAACTAAAAACGTCCCCTATAAAATGCTTTAATATTTTGTTAAAGGATGTTTAAAGAATACCAGATAACTTCGGCAATATTAAAATTTTAGTTTTTTCATATTGTTCTTCAAGATTTTAAATACGATATTTTGCACTTTTTTAAATATTAAATCGCTTATACCTCGAAAAAGATGAGTTAGAGAAAAGTTCTAAACTGCCTTCAGAATATTTTTCCGAGAATATGCAACGACGGTACTACGTGGACCGTGTACAAAAGGCTTCTAGCGAATAATATTTGTATGTTATGAAAATTTGACTGATATACTAATTTTTTTTTACATCGAAGCAGCCGTGCAGGCAGAAGCCTAAATGCCGGAACACCGCGGCTGCTATGATGATCCCAAAGAAATTTTATTAATACGATTTTTGAACTACCTAGGGTTAATCGAACTGTAGATTGTTCCACAATCTCGACACCCTCGGGACAAAGGAGCGGTCGTATCGGCCGGTTCAGGATGTACAAAGTTCGACACGGTTAGGGTGGGACGCCAAAGTCAGGCGGGTCTGTCTGGCAGGCACATCGCGCAGCGGCATCATGGAAGAGAGCTCTGAGGAGCAAAGCCCGTTGGTGTAACGGTAGAAAAGAGCTAGATTGCCGACAGCCCGCCGGTGCGAAAGAGTCCCGAGACTGTCTGTTAGAGAAGAGTCATCCATCGGTCGGACCACCCTCCTCTGGACAGCATCGAGTATGGATAATGTAGTCGGGGCGGCAGCACCCCAAACGTGTGAGCAATACTCGAGGCTAGGCCTTATCTGGGCCTTGTATAGAGTGAGAAGGTCATGCGAGAAAAGTACTTCTTAGCCCTAAACAAATAGCCTAGCTTTTTCCCAGCGGCTGCAGCTATTGACGAGATGTGTTCGTGACAGATCAGGTCCTCGGTGATCTGGACTCGGACCAGCCGAAATGCATGGCTCTTTGGCAGAACTCGACCATTCATCGAAAACGGGTGAGCGCAGGGACGCTTTTTGTTCGTCAAAGTACAGTACTGCGTTTTGGAAGCATTGAACTGTACAAGATTGTTGCGTCCCCAAGCAGTGATAGCCTCCAGGACTCTTGTTACAGAGAAAGTCATCGCTAGTCTTATTTTTTCCAACTCAGCGGCAGAGATTGGCTTGTCACTCTGAATTGCTGCATGTAGAGTACTGTCATCAGCGAAGCTGTGGATTGGGTTGATCGTGCAGGAAAGGAGATCGTTGATATGTAAGAGAAACAGTGTCGGAGCCAAGACCGATCCCTGGGGAACACCCGCGTTGACGTTGCGGGATGAAGAGGAGAACCCGTCAATTACGACGGATATCTTGCGGCCAGAGATAAAGTCAGCCACCCATCTGCAAAGCTTTTCTGGGAGGCCATTGGATGGAAGTTTGCTTAAGAGGGCAGCGTGCCACAGCTGATCGAACGCTTTCGTGATGCCAAGAGCAACGACATGAACCTCACCATAAGACTGGATGAGTTTACTCCACAATTGAGTGACGTAAGCTAGGAGGTCCCCTGTGGATAGTTGGTGCCGGAAACCATACTGCCTGTCGCTAATCAAGCCGTGACGTTCGAGGTAGTCCAGAAGCTCGCGATTTATGCACCTCTCCATCACCTTACTTAAAACAGAAAGCAGAGCTATAGGCCTGTAGTTTTAAGGGTCGGTCTTAGATCCCCTTTTTGGGATGGGTTGGACAAGAGCAAATTTCCAGTTTTCTGCGAGGGTACCGGATTTAATAAAACTATTAGATATCATTAATTGTTTTTTTTTACAAATAACACACTTTGCAAAAAATTAGAATAGTTTCACTTATTATTTCCATCATACGAGTATAATGGTTTAATATATCACAAATGACAAAATTCTATTAATCGCTAATCGTTATTCACAACAAATGTAAAAAATCATTAAGCAAATGGGATAAAACTTTACATTTTACATTGTTACATAGGTGGGTGTTGTCATAACTCCGCAGTTATTATCTTTAGCTGCCATTAAGATATATCCATCATTGCCCCAATAGTTGGACCAACTGTTTTTGATCAACCAGTAATCTTTTCCGTTGAGTGTTCCGTAACCTACAGCCAGGACAGCATGGTCAAGCTCATCCACTGTGTTTCCACTACAAAAAAAAAAACAATACTTATTTTTTATTGATTTCTTCGACTAACGTAATTTCAGTTTTAACGCGTTTTATCTTCACCCTCTCACATTTAAGAATACTTTGCTACAATGCACTTCGTTCACATTTTTAGTTTAAAATTTCATAAAATTCACAGATAATTTTAGTTTAGTTTCAATTGCCTATCTGGTAATCATTCTTACCATTTTGGCTCATAATAGACTCCGTTTGAATAGAAACTGAAAGTCCTGTGGCTTGCATCGATCGCCACACTAATTGGTCCATGTTTGAAAATTGCCAATCTCAGAGCATTTTCATCGTTAGATGTTACGTTGACCCATCCTTTGATTGGTGCTACCTTTGGTACTTTATCAGCATGACAATATCCATCCTAAAAAATAAAATCCTCTTTAACTTTCCTGTCATATGCTTCGTTAACTATACTAACTCATCCAAAAATACCATCTTTACTACTTACTTGTCCTAGGTATGGACCATATGCTTCCTCAGTAGGAACTCCTCCATGCTTCTTGATCCAACTGTAAGCTCTGAAGTCTTCCCCACCATCGCAACCGTTGTTACCATACCTATAAAAAAATCCTATTACCAACTTTATTAATTTTGGTCGGCAACATTTTTAACTTATCCTCCCATCCACAGCATTCAAAACACGATTTCAATTTATGATGAAGACCACGACTTGTATAAAATTACTTACCCCCAAGAGCAATCCACGAGCGCTTGTTGAGAAAGTCTGACTAGTTTGCCTCCATTTTTCAAAAAGTAGGCTCCTTCTATAGCACCAATTGTTCCGAAAGACCAGCAAGAACCACAAACCGATTGATCTAAAAATATGATCAGTAGATTAGAAATTTTGTTTTGTTTTTCATTTTGTACTTGCTAAAAGCTCTTATTTTACTTAGAAAAGTTAATTTGCATACAAAAAATAAAACTCCACTAACAGATTTTACTGGATTTATAACCGATCCATTGCAGACTAACACAAAATGTCACTTGCCCATCAGCTGTTCACCTCAGTGTACGTCAAAGCGTGATGGATACTCGTGAAATAGGGTATATTTATAAACACTTTAACCGTAGCAATATACATGTGTCGGCAATTGGGACTTGCTTCTAATCTGCTGATTGCCTGTGGCAGAAAAAAATAACGTCAAGTAGATGAACTCTCAGAGGTTCCTACGCAATTCTGGATAAACGGACTCGAATATGAAACATGTATAGTATCTAAGTCGAAGGCTATGCAAATTCTTGCTAGGTAAGGTTTCTTTGTGAGTGGGTCAATCACGATGCTCCACTGCGACTCACTGGTCTATTGTGGCTCACGGCTATTTATATTTCTCAAAGTAACTCCGACTTCCTGAGGAAGTCGATTAGCTTATTTGGAGAAATATCCTTCAGATCTTCTACTGCCTCAAGTGTGGCAATTATAGGGCATCTGCACAAACGTGCTTAAACCGTTTCGTCTTTTCTTCAAGCACACAGTCTGCAGCGCCAGGAGGGTCAATTTTGGGTCCGGTTTTATGGAACTTATATGTCAGACCTTCCAAAATACTATATTGCGAGAACTATTTCTCACAGTACGCATATGGCTTTTGTGTGTTAACCGTTTTCTCAAATCAAGATCACGCGATTATCTGTAAGTAATGGACCACGTCCGAATTAATAGACTATTACGATAAAATATCACTTCTAATGGAAACTGACTTAGGCGAAGGACCAGCCGGGCATCACACGGATGGTCTCGAGCCGCTAGGCCCAGTGGCCAGTGACGTGTGAAGTAAAATACATATCAGATCAACGATTTGGAAGGTGCTGCATGGCACGTGACATTATATTGTCGAATCACAGACCGTTCACGTTTATTCATCAATATTTTGGTCGAGATTATTTTTTAGGAAATGTGGACCAACTGGCCTCTTGCCTTGATAATTTCTTACCTTTAACCGGGGGTCACGGCACCATATATTCTCCAGTCAAACTGTGGAGGTAAATTTGCACGGTTGACGTTTTTGTATGGGAATGGCTCACCACCATTGTATACACCGCTGTATTGTTTACCACGTAAAGCTCCAATTCCTCAGGAGTTTGTCAGCTAAATGGTTGACTGCTAGAGAATATCCTACAAAATAAAATATTTAAAGGAAAAATGTTCTGGTTAAATCGATTAAGTAAAAATGTTCTGGTTAAATCGATGAAGTATTATACCTTGCGAGGTCTCGTTAATTTTTTGCTTAGTAAAACGTGATTTATTTGTGTAAGAACATAATTTACGTCCCTAAAATAGAATAGCTGTTCAAATAAATATTTACCTTTATTTTGCCTATTAACTGCGTGGATAAGTCTGATGTTCTGTCTGAAAATTTCTTTCCTCAGCATATGTTCCGTTTGTCCTTCATACTGTTTGCTGTGCTTTCTCATGAACTATCAAATTCAAAATCTAGGTGGCCGGTAGTTTCCGGTTTTACAAACTCTGCCATCGGATTGAAGGTGTAGATATGCTTGTTCCCGGGTCCGGGGAAAGCACTGCAAGTCATGTCTACACAACAAAAAAATGTTTAATAAGAAATTGTGTTCTGTTTTCGTTAAGATATTTTTTTGGGATAGTTTGTTAAAAAGGAGGTGGGTTGATAAGGGCCATTTTTCGTCCATAACACACCCAAACATAAAAGGTTCGATTCCAGACTATTATTGAATTTATTTGCGAACTTCAAGACGTGCATTTTTTCATTATATAATATTTACGGTATAAATAATGTAATATGCTTCAGAAATTATTGCCAAGAAATAGAGTATTTAGCGCTTTTGTGCATTTTTTTTGTTTTTCGATCTTTGAATCCCTACGAAACGTTCCATGAACCACATATATTTAATGCTCAGTGAGTTTACTTATTATAAGTTTCTACACGAGTATTTATTTTTGGTTCAGTGAGCGCATCAATCCAAAAATACGTAATATATGTTGCGGGAGAGTGTGAGTCCCGTTACCATCGCTGCTTGTTAAGACATGATTTTTCGCGCTCGAAAAGTATTTACGTAGTAAAAGTATAGAAAATGTGATGTTCAGTCGCGTTCAATGTTTATTGAAAAACTTGATAAAACAATAATGCCTGCATGCCAGTGTGATTGTTATAAAACGTGGCGAAAAACAAACAGTGATTTCCGTAGCTGCTCGAACAAAAACATTATAGCAATACTTAGAAAATCTAAAAACTGCAGATTGGCTCTAAGTGGTGTCCTAAATGCAGATCATATGCATTCCGCGTGGCTCAATCTCAAAAGACTCCCACTTCATCTTCTGTAAGGACAACAAGAGTTCTTACTTCAACAAGTACCTCTGATGATATTGAAGGATGGTCTGAGAGTGATTCGAATGAAGAAGACAAGGAAGAAGATTAGTAAAAAATATATGAATTGTATGGAAACTGATAATCTTTTATTATTGTTTAATAAACATATATAACACTCAGATAATTATTTAATTTATGTATACCAGGAATTTCAGTTTTCATTTTAAATAAGTATGCTTTCTTTTTTGTTATGGAGTATACTCTTCATAAATATATGTCATATCTATTCGCTGATGGGCGAAAAATGGCACTTATCAGCCCACCTCCTTTAAAATCAGTGTATAGTATTTTAGCAAGATTAATATTGTAAATAACAACATAGTAATTTTGATTCATAGTGCCTCTACAGCAAATCTTACTTGAATCTATTGGAAGATTTTTTCAGGAATATCGTCGATGTTGTAGGAATCGTAATCTAAGTAGTAATGATCATAGTGGCTTCCAAGCAGGGAGTTGAATCCCTTCATTTCATATCTGAAAAATAACCATAAACCGATAAATTCGTCCTATTGTACCTGAACTTTCGTTTAGTGCTAACTCCAAGTTCTCAGTTAAAAAGTTTGACTGGTATTCCATTTTTTTTTTAGGAAATATGAAAATCTCAAATGAGTTGCCAATAGTGGACTAAAAATGTGATTCATGCCAAATAGTTTGAACTATAATACCTACCTAACTGGTACTGCAATTTTGCCAATACCATCAGGATTATCTTTGTAAATTATCCACATGGTATATTTATTTTCTTTTTCGCCAACAGTTTCTGTTAGTCCCCATTTTTCTGTTTCAAGACCGTTCACTGTTTCTTGTCCTGCATGAATATTGTACTGTATAATTTATTTTTCATTTGACAAATAATTTTCGAATTATTGTAGTATGTATACGATGAACAAATAAGGTATTAAGGTATGTTCTGCGCGAGGACGGCAACAGGAGAACGCATTCAAAAAAATCTATGATATAGTGACAGATTTTCTGGGTGAGTTTCTCACTTTCGCGGTTTCCTGTCGCCCTGTCTGCGCGGAATGGCACCTTTAGCTCTTAGTCCATGCACGGTAACTCACCAATACATTCAAAATTGATCAATTGCGGCAAAACAGTTTGTGGCAGAATTTTGTTATCTGCGGTGCCATTGACTTGAAGGCACGTTCGAGTGTTTTGCTCCTCTTCAGTAGTGACGGGTGCAATTTTTATACTAGTTCCATAACCATGACCTCCTAACTGATACGTTTTTACCATGTCACCATAATAGTCGATGCGAGATTGTTTTGACGGAGCATCGAACCTTAAACAGAAAAATCATGACAGGTATGTATGTGAGGTTGCTATTCATATTTTACAGAGAACAGTTTTTTTATAATTACGATTCAAATCCCATCTCAACGTCATTATCTTAATCTATATTTTTTACTATGGAAACAGAACAATCAAATTGAAGGTTTTCGAGATCCATAAACGAGCGGAAACGCCACTTCAAGTCGTATTAACCTTGAAAATACAGAAACGTATCATATTCGCCAGTATTTATCATAACTGCCACTTCAGATATCTACAACATCAATGGTAATCAAGTACTGAGCTTAAGATCGTACCAAACTCTCTTGATCCTAAGTACGAAAAAACTGCAATAAAAAATGTCAACCAAATAAAGCTATTTGATTTGCTCGAGACCATCCAAATAGCTAAATTTTTGGAAACACACATTTGAATTTTCGTTATATAGTATGGACTTTATCTGGGATCTGAGCAACAAAACCTTACACAGCTAGTGTAACTGTGTTCAACCGTTAATTAACCTGGTCTCCTGGTAGAATACATTACTCAATTCTCCAACTAAGAATAGGTAATCTCATCAATAGTGGCAGCTGCTGGAAAAAGCTAGACTATTTGTTTAGAGCTAAGAAGTTCTTTTCTCCGCATAACCTCCTTACTGCTACTCCTACTCTGTACAAGGCCCAGATAAGATCTAGCCCACACAACATTATCCATGCTAAATCCTGAACAGAGGAGGGATGTCCGATCGATTGATGACTCTTCTCTAAGGGACAGTCTCGGAACCCTTTCGCACCGACGGGCGATCAAGCTTTTTTCTACCACTATGTGAATGGGCCTGGCTCCTCAGAGCTCTCTTCCATGATGCCGCGCTATATGCCTGCCAGACAGACCCGCCTGACTTAGGCCTGCCATCCTATCCGTGTCGAACCTTGTACATCCAGAGTTGTGTGATAAGACCGCTCCTCATAGCAGCTGCAATACCCGTGTATTTAGGATTCTGGCTAAGCGGCTGGTTCGGTATAAAATGAACGTCCCACTGATTGTTCTGGCACGCTGACGAATTATGCATTGTTTTCGCGTAACTTGAATATATTTATGAATGTGGCATAACTCAATTTTTATAGAGAAGTTAAATTATGCGTTAAAGAAAAACGTAAACCATCTCCAAGAAAGAAAATTAACGACGTTGTGATAATCACTGAAAGTCGCACGAACTTTCGTTTTTCCATATTTGTACCTAATACAGGTGCAAACATTAAAAAAATTGGTCACACCGCTTCATACTCTTGCCGAACATTTTGAATTGAATTAAGAGAATATAGTATTTTTTAATATTTGTAAGCCACCAAATCATATCTTCTTTTCTTACCAGGCATAGAAAGGTTCATCAATTTCAGCATAGGGGATGTGGAGGATACCTTTTACAGAATAAGTCTGACTCCATACTGGTCCACCCACTTTAGGACTTGCAAAAACTAGAAAACAACAATTATTGTTGAAACGGAATGTCAAAATTATAATGATATCGTCACGTCGTGATTGGTAAATAACATAACATCCTCAATAGCACACACGTTTCCCATATTTTCACTTGATAATACGTATTTTTCATTTTATCTAGTTCTAAAAGTGCAATACGTGATTCTCAGAATTCACGCAATATTTGCTGAATTCGAATTTGTTTGTGTGTGTGAGCGAGTTAAAAAAACTATGTCCCAAATAATAAGCGAAAATTGAAGGTGTACACAGTTCAGATCGGATATTTGATTATAGTGCTCAGAATCTACTCAAGCTTGAGTAACAGCACAATAATTTCAGAAAATCAACCAACTTAAAGCTATTTTCAAGTATCCAAACAATTGGCCGATCTTTGAAAAAAAAATAATTACCGTTAGTTGTGCCGTATCGTCAGTTGTTCCTACAATTGTAGGACGCCATTATGGCGTCCTTGATTTTCATAGTTTTCTAATTTTCCGTGTCAGCGCTCTATTTTGAGATTATGTCACAAATATCTATAATATAAATTGTTCATGCTTTTGATTTATATCATGTTTTATCAGCCTAAAATTTCCTACAATTCAAATAGAAAGCATAACTTCACCATAGGAGATGGCTGACGCTGACACGGAACTCGCAATCTAGAAATTTTTGAAGGAGTTGGTAGACGGTCTCTGACGCGGAGGTACCACCCGGCGGATCTCGTAGGCGGGGTCAGAATGTGTGCATGTTGCATGCACACGCGTTCCCTCGCCAGAGTCCGTGTGGCGTTCTCCCCTTGCCCTGTATCCCTCTATAGCCCCACGGTACCCCATGGGTGTTTATGCCTTCGTGGTTGTTGGAGTATAAAAAAAAGATATGAACATCAAGGAGGCCATAATGGCGTCCTACAAATGTAGGAACGACTGACGATATATGGCTCTTTAAAATGTAGCGCGAAACTAGTAAACAAATATACAAATCGTTTGAAACGAAATGGTTTTATAAAAAGTGCTATTTTTTTCAAGACGAATTCATTTAATGCAAATGTATTCCTTAATCAACGTTCCAAAGCAAATCTGATTATATAGTGGGGCTTAATAAAACTTTATTAATGCAAGTATATTTTTACCACCGTTCTTGTGCTCAAGAATCAGGGGCTCTGTAAACCTTCCAAATACGAAGTTTGTATTACATATATTTTTTACAGATTAGTCATTCGCTATAGTGCATCCATTTTTTAAAACTTTGTAGATTTTGGCCAAAATTTCATTAACATCCGAGTGGTTCTTCTTCATTTATAAATAATCCCAGGAACGTTTTGACTCCTTAAAATTCGGCTTTATGTTATGCTAACAACTTATTATTTTAATCATGCAGCAACTCTTTATCAATGATTTTTAACATTCATAAAATGTCTCAGGTCGTATTTCATTATTCGCATTACTTTTGCTCCTGTAAACTGTTTAGTACACACGAAAACACAAAAAACGCAATGCTTTGTTGTCAAATTCATTTTTTGTGCAATCTATGTAAGTACGAATAGTAAGTCTAAAAATTTCGTTATTTTGACTTCAAATATTTTACCGTTACGGTTAGGATTTCTTTTCGAGAAGCCGGAATCTGCATTTATTCCTTCTTTCGAAGCAAAACAAGCAATAAATCACAGTGATGACTGCGGGCGTATTATAGGTGTACCTATACCTACTTTTACTGACATGCTATTATTATTTGATTATACATACCTGATATAAGCGCTTGGGCCAATAAAGACGCCACTACCACACCCCGCATAATTGTGAAATTTACACTATCTAAATGAACGTAAAGCGAAATGATCTATTTAACGACTATATCTTCAATAAATTTAAAAACTGCTGATATGTTGATAAATTCAAGAATGAAACAAATATTCCTCGCTCTTTGACCCACTAGTGCTGATACAGCTGACTGAAAAATAGTTTTGATATGCTCGCTGTTGCACAAGAGGGTTGATACTTGATACTTCTGCTTACACGATTATATCTTCTTTTTATATGATCGTGGATATAAAAACCTTTATAAAATGATTGGCACACCTACAGAAGTAAGATACGCTATCAGTAGATAGTTCTCATCATTGCTATTCAACTTTATTATTGATTCAAACCTTCAAGTACATGTACGAGAAGTACTTGTATTTTTTCCAGAATGAATGACAAGGTATGTGCTTTAAATATTAAGATTTTGTATTCGAGATTGATTCTAGAGTGTTTCCATATATCCAATTGAGCCAATACTATCTTCCTTTCTGCCCATCTCTTTATTCTCGAACCTCTGCCGATAAGACCTTAACAGACAGAACCGGACCCAGCAAGTAAAGCATACCATAGTTTAGGTCTATATAGATATAGAGGATATAATCGGAACTCTTCACGTTTCGACCTTTCTTAAATACCTGCGCTAGAAAAGCTTACATAATTTTGTCCGAACAGCAGTTTTGCACCATTACGATATATTGTAACAAAAACATCGATCTTACTGTTCAAAGTCCAATTTATTACTCATCTAACATTAATTTATAACACTTGCAACTAATTTATAACAAATTCATAACTATGTCGAATGGACGATTATTCCATCTTAATTCTGCCCTCTCTGTCCATTGACTCGTTTATGACTGACTGTTCCCGCCATCTATTCGGGTATTTATTCTCCTATCGACGAGTCGAGAAATGTTCCAGCGTTTTCCAGGCCGAGTCACGAGCTCCTTTAGATGACAGGATTCATCTTCAGATGTGCCCAATGGTCACGATGGAATCGCGAATGCTTCAGAACGCCACCACGCTCCATACATGGTCGCGTAATTCTGGTCGCCTAAGCGTCGACGTTGATGGACGCCTATCGAATCTTCTAGTCGCTGTACGAGCGTGTCTCGCTAGCACCCAGAGTTCCAGTTATACGAGGCCGTTCCAATATCTTCACTGCCATGAAATTGTATTTCCTCTCCTTACCTTTGAGTAACAAAGTGTGCTGTTTTATCGAGGTAGTTACAAGTGTGTTTTTTGTTTTGTTTGATTGATCAAATGGACATGGAATGAGTTTAGAGCTGTTTCCGTTCCCCTACAGCAAATTCTTTCCTTCCCCTCTTGCGATTGGTAGAAGATAACGTGATTACTATACTAAGGCGCAATATAAAAGTTCATCAATATGATGGAAATAATAAAATATATTGATGAGATATCATGAAAATTCATCGTAAAATTCAAAAACACGGCATGTATTCATAATGAGGGATTCGCTTGCGTTAGGATATAGCAATTAATCCTCACGATAAAAATGTCTTTGTCCCAAAAAGTGAAAAGAATTTCAAAATCATTCTAAAAGTTTATCTACATAACAAAGGAGATAAAATTGACCCACTTATCAATGTTTAAAAGCCATTATACATAATTACATTACCAGGAATGGGGTGAACGACACTCGGTATACTAAGGCAATTTGATGCTGATTTCGAATATGCACATTAGAAAAAGGCAGAGTTGCCGCGATATTATTTAGAGTAGAAAAATAGGACTTTTGGAGGATTTTGCTTACCAAAGAAACACATTTTGGCAAAGATTGGTAGAATGGCGAGTCTAAATTTTAATAAGGCGAACTAAACTCGGTAGAGTTAGAAAATAGGAGCTTCGAAGTCTTCTATCCATCTTGGAGAAAAACTGCAAAATTGGCAAAATAGAATTTGTGAAATTTTCCTTCAACAGTATGCTTGACGAATATTACCATTTTTTTATACCGGAGCAGCCGCGCAGTCAGAAGCTTAAATACCAAGGCACCGGGGCTGCCAAAAATGCTATCGTGAAGCCTTACTTTAGGCCCGTATCGTCGGTCGCCCCTACAATTGTAGGGCGCGTTTATGGCCTCCTTGATTTTCATACTCCTTTCTCTCTTTCAAAAATTGCTAGATTACACTTGTCCCGTGTCAGTCTCAACACTCTCCTATTGTGAAGATATGTTTTCTTTTTAAATTGTAGGAAATTTCAGGCTGATATAACATGATATAACTCAAAAGCAAGCACAATTTGATGCAAATAGATGTTTGTGACATAAGCTCAAAATAGAGCGCTGACACGGAGAAGTAGAAAACTGTAACAATCAAGCAGGCCATAAAGACGCCCTACAATTGTAGGGACGACTGACGATACGGGCCTTAGTGTCGGAAAATATGACATCATATTCTAATTAGATTGGGAAATGGATCTTTTGGGTAATTTCGTCGATTTCAGTGAAAAACTAAGATCAGATTAGTAATTTATCAGTGATGCGTCAAGACTCTGCATGGGATGACGGGCTTATAACACGTTACAACGCGGTTATTCCAGGGACACCTGCGTACACAATGTGTTTTGTGAATCGTGATGCTCCCGCACGTTTTCTCTTCCCTCCTCTCCATCCACTATTCAATTTTCGCCAACGTGATCAACCTAATTATAAGAATTTTTTTAAACCCAAATCGAGTGTTGGTTCTAGTTTTTTAAGTGGACCAATGAGCTGAATATCCGCTCTAACCTTCGCAGAGCTACTATATATACTGCTTTTAATCTTGTTACTTTTACTCAAAATATATTTAAAAACAAGAAAGGCTAATTTTTCTCTCCCAAGAACCCGAACAGACTTAAATAGTTTCAGTTAATTTTCCGAGAGGGTGATTTCAATAACTACAATTATATTTCAACTTCAAATGCATCTAAGTATCAAATGAGATAAAGTCGTACCTGGTAAATCTATTTAAAATATGTTTTTGTTACATATGATAGCAAAAATAACGTTGCAGTTACAAGTTATAAGCCCGTATATCTCAAAATATATATGTGTTATATGTGTTTGCAGTTACGACAGTAATGAATAGGAAATATGCATGTTTTTGTGCCTTCCGTCGATTTTTTACGTAAATATAATATATAAACATATATTTCATACATCGGAATGGGGCATGAAAAATAAGGTTGAAAGCGCTTTATGTAGCAATATTAAAAACCCGATATTTGAACCAAATTCGTATTTCCTATGAGAGTTTTACAACAAAATAGGTGGTACTGATTGTGAGACCCTCGTAGTCGTAATTTCACTGACGAAACAATTTTTAGTCGATGCTATTTACAATCTAGGTCGCCTTTAATCTCTGATTTCTCAAATGTCTAGTTCTGTAGTTCCATGTCAAAGCTTTATTTATGTTTTTCTAACCTCCAATTAAAAGCCGGAAAAGAGATTGTTCAAATGTGCGACTGCTAAATCATTTTTCTTCACATAAATTTTAACAATACGCTGTCGATTGCAACATTAATGTTGGTCACAGTTTACTTATCTTCGATAGATCTGCAACGTGGTGTGCAACTACATGTTTACCTTGGTGCAATTGCCTGATCATGTAGAATAGTCGACGAATAGAGGCAAAAGTTTTTTCAAAGTATGAATAATAAATTGTTAACTGGTTTACGTACAACAAAAATTGAAATTTCTGTTTACTTCTTTGTATGGATCACAGCAATTATTTATTCGATATACAAATTTTCATTGTCCTGTGCTGACTGTAAGTATTTATGGTAATTCTCTAGCTCAACTACACTAGCCATTTTTGATGAAAAAATGATTTCAGACTCTAGTTTTTGGGTGTAGATGAAAGAAATGGGACTGAAAAATGGCTGGTAAGCTAAGCTAGAGAATTACCATATTTATTTTAATTCCAATGCTCTAATGCACATTTAAATTCACATTGCACAGTTTTTCAGGACCATATTGATGAATATGGAGATTTTGAGGAAGGTGTACCTTTCCTGTCTGCCAAAAGAGATAAAGCTGATTTTGAATGGGAATCTGTACTGTATTTTCTAAATTTCATTTATCCATGGGGAATTTTACACCTTTTTATAACTGAGTTTATTACAAATGTAATTTCTCTGTGAAGGTAATATCATACTGCTGTTACTGAGGTGATTCCACACTAAAGTCAATTATATGTTATATAAGTAAGGTCAATATATGGCTATAAAATACATTCCTGAACTATATCAATACACCACAAACAAGCATGTTGATTAATTTTCAGTTCAATAAGCTGATGAAATAAAAATGCTTAAATACAATGGTTCATTAATCATATTGTCAATTAGAAGTAGTTAGAATCACTTCTTAAGGCTCTCCAGTACTTCTGTCTTACATAAAATACATCTCTAGTTCAGTCACAACTCATTTATTAATTTGTTTATTTTGTAAATAAAAATAGGAGTTATTGCTAAGGCTGTATTAATTTTTTTGATTGCAATTTTAACCAAAACATTTAACATGGGAAATAAAATGTGTTTAATAAAAAATGATTTTAAAAATCCTTAACTATATGATTTTTTTTATAAATAACTTTTTTTTTGAATTTTTCTTAACTTAGCTCCTTACCAAGCCTACATCTTGACATGCCCAAATTTCTTGTTTATATTCTCAAAAAATAATTGAGCTGCTGTGAACTGTGAAGGAACCTGATATATTTTCATATAGGAATAAATAGAGATACTGTGGAATAATTCCCATTTTATTTTTAGGTGACAAAAATCAGCCAAATCTTATTTACTTCATTTTATCTGACAATCAGTGGAGGATCAGTATTATTCACCCTTCTGCTGCTTCAACCTGTGATATTTTATGTGACACATTGTATAAATGCCAACACAATATTCAAGTGGATATGCTCTTTAATTTCATTGGGACTGATAATATTATACAAGAAGGACTACACTGCAACTGTACAAGAAGCTGCAGGTGTAAATGATTACCAGATCTATTTATTCACACTTAGTCTCAGTTGGATGAATCTCAAATGTACAAGTTTTTATTTAGAGGAGAAGACTGGCAATATTTTAGACTTTTTCAGCTATTGTCTTTATTTTCCTACAATATTTATGGGACCTTTCATATTACATGAGGATTTTAAGGTCAAATATAGCCACTACACACCAACAAAAATGAGAGTATGGTGCTTTATAAAGAATGTTTTGATCACCTTATTTTGGTTTTTGTTTGAAGGGGTGATGTTGCATTTTGTGTATGTTAATGCAGCTGCATTCCATCCATTTGAGGTAATTCTATTGTATAGATTCTAAAGATTTTTTCTACATTCGACCAAAATCGTAAATAATAAAAAATGTTTTTTAACACGTTAAACGCTAAGCAAAATGTCCATCAGGCCATCATGTTCCCAACAAATAATGTGTCTTATCTACCATCTACGTCAAAAGCTGACACAAGACGGGAACATGTACTGAAAAATAGAAGGAAAATGATATGAGGTCAGATGGTATCATACAGGATGTTATAGTAAAAAAATAAGGGGTGAAATATCAAAAAATAAGATTCCAAAAGTTACTACATATTGTGACAGTTGTGAAGGAAATCCCCACTTTTGCCTTGACTGTTTAGGAACATGTCATAAATAAATGAAATTACCTTATATTTTGTATCCCTATATCATAACTTATTCTATATATATGCATTTTCACTGGAAACTTGTTTGTTTTTGCCAAAGTAGTGTAGATTTAGTAGGAAATAAATGATCAAGATTCTCCTAAACATTGAAAAAAGTTTGAGCGGTTTGTTTTTTTTTCGTTTTTAGCCTTTTTCTCTGCCACCACTGCACCGATTTTCAAAAACTACAAAACTTTCTCGTCCTTGGTATAGTAGTAATCTTACGTCAGAAGTTCATCAACATCCAAGGGGTACTTTCCAAGTTACAGACGGGCCAGGGATTATCGGACAGACAGACGGAGTTGAGTGACATGTTTTTTCGAGATGTACATGTCATATTACATCCAAATTTTCGAAATTTTTCGGGATTACAATACTTCCTCGCCGGAGGCGTAGGTAGTAAAAGGGGCTTCCCAACACTCTAGCATTCTTTGATAACCAAATTTGAAATCAGTATCCCAAATCGCTACAATGTATCGATTTTCGAAAATCAAATTTTTTGTGGTGAAAGTTTCATGTTGAAAATATTCAAACATGTGTGTTTCCAGGGTAAATTGGATGCACAGATCTTATCTACCGTCAGCTTTTTGAGACAGTAATCTCTGACCGATGATCCCCCCTCTGTGAGAAAAATGCATGCATGCATGCGGGCGCTCATGATGGTGCCTCAGGGTAGATAAAAGTTATGCATCCAAAATCAAATAACCCCCCTCCTCCCACTCTTCTATAGAGAGGCCCCAGACCAATTTTGTGCTTGAAGCCCCAATTTCATGTTCCAAATTTCTTGATGATCATATTTGAAAGAAACATCCCAGCGCACCGAATTTCTTTCACTTGTGGAAACGGATAAAAATGAAAACGCGGTGGATTTTTTAAGTTTTTATTTATTTATTTTTATTTACCAAATTTACGGGTGACCCCATTTATACAAAATAAAATCACGAAATGGGAACAACATTTACAACATGCAAGCTCACAAGACATAATTATAAAAATCACAATTTAAAAGATAATTTTCAAAGGCTGAGAGTGTACAAGTTATAATGTCAATATTAGACTAAGCTAAATTGATAACACGAAATGGTCTATCGAGTGGAGAGTGCTGATCATAGGTTGTGGGATGGAACTTAATCGCAAGCAGGCTATTATTACGCAATGTTCTACGGTGTACATTAAGATTGATTAATGTTAACAAAGTTTTGCAATCGGTGATCCCCAATACAATCTTGAAAGCGAAACAACCATCAAAGACCAGGCCTCTATGCTCCAATGTAGGTAAACGCAAATGCTGTAACATGTCAGCTCTGTGATATTCCGTCATGTTTAAGTTCCTCTTTGATGCTGCAAGACGTAAAAATTTAAACTGGACACGCTCTAAATCATATTTATAACACTGGTAAAGAGGGGACCATACTACTGTCACTAATCACCTTCATAAAATGCGCTAGGGCAAGATCCGACATGTCGCTCACATGAAAAGAGGGATAATTTAGATTTCAAGTAACAACTAAGAAACAACTAAGAAACAACTATTTCTCTCCGGATTTAAAAAAAAATCCGTAATAACCTATGGTGCGTTGGCATAACTCAATTCAGATTACCTTCAAAGATCACTAAGGTCATGTGGGCTTTATTCTAGGGTCCTTATGCAGGTAGTTATGAACACAAGTTTTTTAGTTTTTGCAGAACCTTGACAGTTGGGCATTTTATGGATTTGGCTATGCCATGGGACAACACTTCCACATCAAGTATGTTGTGATTTACGGCCTAAGCACAAGCCTGGCATCATTTGAAAATGTAATGGTACCGCATTTGCCAAGGTGCATTGGAAGGATACATTTATATTCTGACATGTGGAAATATTTTGACGCGGGTCTCTACAAATTCTTAGTGAAGTAAGTTCATTTGAGCTCTCAGTTTTGCTTTCTTCACATGCTAAGATTTCAGATAGAAGATATATTGTGAAATGCTGGTGATAGATTTTCGCCCAAACCACCTAAACTGCCGAAAAAAGAAGATTATAATCACTTGCACAAACATTTCGCAGATGAATAACTTTCCATTTGGCCCCGGCGCCTAGAAATGCTATTGGGACTTGTTCATTGTCATTTCGCGAACATAAAATTGGCACTTAGTCTTTTTAGAACTTAGACCTTACACTCAAATGAAGAGAAATACATTAATATAAAAATTAGAAATGAGTATTTTATTTTGGTTTCTCTTGTTTCAGACACATCTATATCCCCATTGTAAAATTGACGTCTCTTAAGCTTCTGGCCAGCATGGCAACATTCGGTTTTGTGTACATTTGGCATGGTACTGCAACATATATTCTTATATGGTGTATCCTCAATTATATAGGAATAGTCCTAGAGCAGACATGCTCTCCACTATTATCAGTCAAGAAGTCGGAGGGGATCAAGTTTTTTCTTGATTGGCCAAGAAGAATGAGATGCTTCTTTGGTGCAGTATTATTGGCTGTATCGGCCATATCCAATTTTTATTTTTTTGGAGGGAAGAATATCGGAGATCTATTTTTCAGAAGACTATTTGCAGGTAAATTGATTCAGTATGTGCATATGTTACAAGTTAAGCTTCAGACACAAAAAAATCAATATATAAACTAGACTGTGACTGCGGTAAATACTACATCCGTGAAACATCAAGACCTGTTAAATATAGAACTAAAGAACATAAAGGCTGTATAATAAAGGGAGGATCTAATGGACAATTAGTTTTTGCACACAAAATAGACTGTGTACATTTTATCATGACCATTAGACACTGAAACTAGACTATTCTGTTTATTGAAACACTTTTTTATTTTTACAGACAATTTACCCAACACCATCATACTGCTATTTATCCTTTACTGTGGTGCTCAAGTGTCTACCGAATTATGTCCAGTACATGCAAGAAAATGTGATAATAATCCAATAAAAATGAAGTATTGACGAAAACAAATTTGATTTTATCCCCTATACCTTCTGATCGAATGAAAAGGCTTTGAACAAATACAGGGTGTCCTGAAAGTTGGGACTTTCCTTTTTAGAAACAACCACACTTAAAATAACAACTGGTGCAACAGTAGCGAAAAAGTAAAAGAAAATAGATAAAAAAGTATTCGCCGTTTATTTGCAGAGAAATTTCAAGTACTGTTCTAAGTTGTCGCCATTGCTAAAATGTCCAAATAGTCAAAGAAAATGGTTGTTGAAAATGTGATCGACGCTGACGGTCTACGTGAGTGAGTACTCTTGCAGGAAAATTCTCAGCTTGGATGGCTTGTACAGAAGGGTACAAACAATCATCACAGCATTTGCCGCACTTTAGTCTTGAAGGTTTGCACTTGTCTAGCTGCTTCCCTAGTGCTTGTTGTTGTACAAGATCCAATACTCATTCTTCAGTTTGCACCATTCGGGATTGTCTAAGGCTAACGACATGTATCCCTAGCTGTTTGCATAAGGTAAACAAATTTACGCGGTCCTAAATAAAAACGTCTGAGAAAGCGATGTGCATATACTCGCGAAGCCTCGGTAGCATTTTGAAGACACTCAATTAAAATCATGTCAAGTTCGTTATTACTGTACGAGTGTGCCATTTGCTTTTTTTTTAGAACCGAGCGGTAAACAAATGTTTTGTTTACCTACGCTGCCAGTGCCTGAGTTGACTACTGACGTGCGTCGTGCCTTTTCATTTTTGATCCGATCAAGATACAGAAGTGGATTAGGTTTGGTTTAGGTTTCATTGATTTTTCGGAGCCTAATATCACGGTTATCTTTGGTGTATATGCTTTATGCTGCTAGGAAAAACCGCTTATTTTTTCAACACACAGTTAAGCATATTTATTATTGCTGGGATAAACACAGGGGCATATTTACCCTATAGCCAAGGGCCCAGGATGGCTCATCATGTTTTTGCTTTTTGCCTTTCCTTCATAGGTCATCTTAAGAGGTCCTGTGGGCTGTATCCAAAAATACGCCACTGGATGGGCATAGGTAGAAGCTACTAGTAAAGTGACTCTACTATATGCAAGTTGGTATAATTTAAAGAAATTAGTGTGGTGTCAGCAAAAACAAAACAGAAACCATGAAATAACGATTTTATGAAGAAATATAGGTATTGTATAAAAAGGAATCATCTTATTAAATCTGTTATCAAACTTTCGATACATAAAACTAAACAATATATCCTTAAATTATTTGCTTGAATGATTAATTCAGTCTACTGGTAAGAGAACTTTTAACATTCGTAGCATTCTTCATTCGATTAATTTCCAACCTTTTTAAAGCTTCCTGACGTTTCCTATCTATGATTTCTTGCTGACGTTTAGCCTCCCTTTTTGCTAATGCTTCCCGCCTCTTCTTCTCTATTTCTTCAGGTGAACACTGCATTGGGGCTGAAATTAGGATTGGAATATTAAATATACAGTAGTACCCATTGTGCTATACAACTCCATAGAGAGTGAAAACCTTTTTTTTTCTATACACCAACTACCACGAAGGCCTAAGGCCTAAACACCCATGGGGTACCGTGGGGCTATAGAGAGATTCAGGGGAAAGGGGGGGAGCCACACGGACTCTGGCGAGGGAACACGTGTGCATGCAACATACACACATTCTGGCCCCGCCTACAAGATCCGCCGGGTGGTACGACAGTCGGAGACCATCTACAAACTACCGACAATCACAACATCCATAGCCAAGAGACAAGTTTCTCTTGAGACGGAATTCGAACCCGCGTAGCGCACGGCAACTGATCAGGAGACTGACTAATGCGGCCACTGCTGCTGCCTATATTTGCCTTTATATTTATTCCTGCTAATATTATAAATCTGAAAGTGTGTATACATGTTTGTTTGTTCCATTTTCACACCAAAACGGCTGAACCGACTTTGATGAATTATGAATTTAAGCATATACGGTATATAGATTAGACCTTGGCTACCTTTTGTTGTGAAAATTAGACTTCAAGGAGGTGAAATAAGTGGTAACCGCCACATGGGGAAACTGTTAATTTTTTAAAGGTAGGCATACAAATATGGGATGGGTTTCATATGCTTGGTTCTCTGATACAGTGTAAATAGACACTTACAAATAAATTTTGGAAGTTCCACACCTAAGGGGGTAAACTGGGAATTCTTACTTTTCAAGTTTTTTGTAGATAATTTTGAATATTTCAAATGAATCCAGCCTAAAGGTAGGAGCATGTTTTGTCTTCAATCTTTTAAATAATTATTATTCACAAAGATTTTCAGAAACTTTGTCATCAAGATGGGGTAGGAAGGGGTTGAATATTTCTCTGGGGAACCTTATCACTTCTTAAGTTTAAAGAAATTGATCTCAAACACTATTTGACCTATGAACGTGAAATTTGACAGGGAGGTAGTTTTTTGGGCAAGACCTGACAGCTGAAACCAATTTTGTGACATGGCTGTATCAAGGGGATTGTGGGCAGATATATATTTAAATACAAAATCAAAATCAACCTATGAAGATTATAAATTTCACAAAGAGGCAGCTTCTGCAAAAACATATTAGCTGTATGAGCAAAAATGAAAATTCCAAAAAGTAAAAAATAGGATGAGGTGTGTATGTTTTTATACAAAATTCAGCACTCCAAACTTCAAAATGGCGGATTGAGGGGTTGCCGAAATGGACGGCTTTTCTGGACAAAACACCTGACATCTCAGTAGCTAATTACCAAAACCCCCATTGTATGTCAATCAATCTTCCTTTGAATTGGTTTATGCAAATATGCAATAAACTTTGAGGCATTCCATTTAAAAAATCACAACTTTGATACGTAGGTGAAAATTGGGACACCCTGCATAATTGCCAATATTTTAGAAATGTGCCCTCAAATGACATGTATAACACTCCATAAATAGATTTTCCCAAAATGTGTTTGTTTATGAGTAATATTCCGTCCACACATGGATGGTCCACCCTGTATATATATATATATAAAGAGAATATGATCATGCGGAGAAATGTATATAACAACAAGTAGGAAAATAATGGGCAAAATCCGCAATTTCTCCGCATGATCATATTCTCTTTGTAGATCCTTGGGCTTGAAGTACCACAGCAAGTGGCTATAACCGGCCGCGTGGTGGTGGTTAGACGTCTCCTTGAAAATTCGAGGTCGAATAGCCATTTTATACTACAATGTGTAGGTTGGCTCTTGTTGTGGACTTCGTGTGTACGTTTTTTTTTTTTTTCCTCCAACTTCGTTTCCTCAGGTTACACCCGTATCCGGATGTGTGGGCATGTGTATCTACTTTTGTAGTTTCATATGTGCATTCATTTCGGGCCTGATGAAGCCAACCAGCAGAAATACGTATCGCTCGGGTTACCTATCCTATTTTCTGCTCGAATCCACTTTCCTCCTTTTTGCGGATTTTGCCCATTATTTTCCTACTTGTTGTTATATATATATATATATATATATATATATATATGTATATATATATATATATATATATACATTAATCACAAAAACGATTTGACCTATGAACATGAAATTTAGGAGGGAGGTGGTTTATGGTTATGTTTAATAATGAATTTTATTACAGGGCAGGATTAAGGGGTCTAAAGGCAGATATATGTAAAAGTGAAAAGATGCACAATGAAAAATTTAGTTTAATTTAAAATGCTATTTTCATAAAATTGGTTGTGTTATTAATTAATTTGTTAGCCTTCTGGACCATGGTTTTATGGTATCTCTGAAGCTTGACTCCATTAATAAAACAACCAAATTTCCCAAGCATGCAAGTTGACTGTTAATTTACTATGTAATGCAGTAATAGCAATACTCAAAAACAATATATGTTAGTAACAATTGAACACACAAAGTCATGAGTAATAGCTAGTCTGTTTACAAAGTCTTATTTACATTTTGAATGTTTTTCAAGAATTGATAGTAAAATAAGTATTTTTTAGGAAGATTAGATATATATATATATATATATATATATATATATATATATATATAAGGTAAAACATACATGGAGTGCTTTTGAAAGTACAGTTGAGACTTTTGAACAAACTGGTAGTTGCATAAAAGATAGAAGGTATTCTGAGAAAAGCAGTAGATGCATTTGAAAGTATAGTGGAGACATCTTAAAAAAATCTTGATGGCAAAAATTAGTTGAATATCTTCTTAAAAAATATTCAAAAACCCTTCTAATGGCTTTGGAAGTTATCATAGTTATCATTCTATAAAACTTTTCTTCAATTATAATTTTTCATCAACCCTCAACCAAGAAAAGTGAATGTGCTTAGTAAAAACATTTAAATATTTTACTTACAGGTAACATCATTAGTGACTTGACTGATTTGTTGTTTCGATTTAAGCTTTGCTAGTGCTTCTAGCCTTTTCTTCTCAATTTCCTTTGAAACATCTCCAGATTCTGCTGTAATATTCTCTATGTTAGCCATTTCAAAGCTTTGTGTTCTGTGAAATTCAAACTTCCCAGTTCTTAACTTAGCATTATCACTAAAAGTATCTGATTTGGTATGCTTTAATGTGCTTGGAATATTTCTGTTTGCACTACTGTAATTACTTGCATCCATTTCAACATCTTTCAAAAGACTATTAAATGTGCCATCTAAGGCACTTTGTGTATTTGTAACTTTCTTAAATGTTAAACTTTTCAGTCGATTTGATTCATTACCTACAATTGGTATAGGCATTACTAAATTTCTTTCTACTTGCTGGCTAAGCATTAAAAATTGGTCATCTAACTCATCATCAAAGAAATCAAGGGGTTCATCTTGAGGTGCCATAAAGTTTACATCAAGAGGCTGAGAAGGTGGTAATAGTGGTAAATCATCATGGATACTTTTATAATGCAGTTCTTCAACAGGTGATAATCGTAAAGTTTCTTCATGCTCAGGTTTTGAAATTTCTTCTCTAAGTGACTGCAGTTCTTGCCTCAGCTTGTCCAAGTCTGGTAAAGTATGGCTGGAAGGATGCCGTTTAAAAGACACTTTTGGAGATGGTGGAGGTGGACGTTTAGGAGGCCGTTTGGGCTTTGGCTGCGGAGAATTCCAATCCCAACCGACACTTATTTCTTCCTGAGTACATGTGATTAGTACCGGATAATCTTCGTTGTCGGAATCCATTTTTGATTGCTTCTAACTACCCATTTAAAAAAATACCTTAGAAAAGTGAACTAGGTTTATAAGATTCACTGTTTATCTTGGAATGGATGAGAGGCACTAATCCTGTGATCAGAGGTACTAATCCTGTATTTAAATTTAAAAATATACGTGAATGTTTGTGAACGTCTGTTGAAATTTTTCACTTTTTAAAAAATTCTTAGGTTACTTCGTGCAAGACTAAACGTCACTTTTGACGTTGACATTGGCGGTGGTTCAGGTTTTGCGATGTAGTCAAATTGTAAACAGTAATTTGTAATGCCCTGATTGTAACTTGTAACCACAAAACTAATTTCATGTATATGGGTTGATTTGAACTTCAGAAATGAAATGAAATGTTTATTATTCGTCGCCCTAAAGCTACTTCCTATAGTTTATAATAGTGTCTTACTCAAGTAAGAAGCAAAAAACAGTAATTCTAAATACCTTTAAAATCATAGTAAATGCAACCACAGTAAATGCAACAATAGCAACTGCGGGATAATGTCATACAGTTATCTTAACACAGAAAGTACATATATTATGCCATTTTATCTAGATACAATTGCTTAACCTTACGAATAAATATATTTACAGACGTCGCTTCTCTAATTTTTGTAGGTAATGCATTAAAAAGTCTCAAACTATCACTAAACAGACATTTTTGCATATGGGGTGTTCTAGCGAATTCTATGTCAAAAGTGTGACCAGATATTATATGCATGTCTCTCGGACCTCGATATTAGATATTCCTGCAAGTATTCAGGCAATAAATGATTTTTTGTTTTAAAAATAAATAAGACATTTGACATTTCAACCTTTTGTTGTATTGAAAGCCATCCGAGGGTTTTTAACATTAAATTAATAGGCGTATAACGTGTATAAAATAATATAGTACGCATAGCCTTATTTTGTAGTAACTGGAGCCTTTGAATATCAGTTTTTTGTGCATGATAGCAACAATGAAAAACAATAATTAAAATGTGGATATATGAAGGTATTATGTACAAGAAGACGTCTCCAGTGACTAAGACTTTCAGATATTCGCCTAAAAAATCCTATTTTTCCCAATTTTTTTACTAACATAATCAACATGCAATGAAAAATTTAGATGAGGATCTAAAACTACGCCAAAATACTTCATACTAGATGCAGTTTCAATTTGAGTATTATCTATCTTAATACAAAATTTATTTTCTAAAAATGTATTACAGTTCTGCTTTGTCCCAAAAACCATGTATTCTGTTTTTTCTACAACCAACTTAAGCCTATTGACACATAACCAGTTATACAGAATTTCCAGTATTGAGTTCATAGTATCTACAACTTGTCTAAAATCCTTACCGTACGCACAAAGCAATGTATCGTCTGCAAATAAGCTCAGAAATGTATTTACTAAAACCCTGTTCAAGTCATTTATATAAAGTAGGAACAAAAGCAGGCCCAACACACTACCATGAGGTACCCCAATTTCACTATCATTTGAATTTGACGCCACGTTATTAATCTTCGTCACATGACAACGGTCTTTCAAGTAGTTCATAAACCATTTTAGTGCACTGTCTGTAACCTAGGCCTGCAATTTCTGGATCAGTCTTTTCCTATCAATAGTCTCAAATGCACGTTGAAGGTCGATGAGTACACTTAACACAATATTCTCGTCATGAATGTATGAACTCCATTTCGAACAGACACACTGACTGCAGCGCCGACTCGCACGAGTGTTTTTCCCGAAATCCCGATTGTCCCTTAAACAACAGTTTTCTTGCCTCCAGAAATTCCCGTAACTGCGCACAAACCACGGTTTCCAAAATTATGTCTATCACTGATAACAAGTTAATGGGTTGCTATTGTGCTGGTTTATTTGGTCTGGACACTTTTGGAATAGGCACTATAACACTAGTTTTTATTGCTGTTGGAACTTTTCCTGTTGTAAGGGATTAATTGATCAAGTGAAACAAAGGGTATCCGAGTACACAAAAAGCCGTTTTCAAAAACTTAACATTACAAATATTATCAGCTGTTTACTTGTTTTTAAGTTCCATTACCCTTTTTTAAGTTGATCAATGCTTATAGTGTTGAAGCTTGACAGACCATCACTTAACTGTGGCAATTCTTGAAATGTTGGTGCTACTTTTGTTGGCTATTTCCTTTACGCTTTTTGCATAAAAATTGTTAAAATTTTCCTGAACAGAGCCAGCATCTTCCTTAAATTCAATATTATCATATGACAGAACATTCTTGTTTTTGCTGCCTACACAACTTGCTTTAAAGTTTGCCACATTTTTTTGCTATCCTCTTTGTATTGGTCAATAGTAATTTCATGATATTTTTTCTTTTCTTTTCGAATAACACGAGCGTAAATGTTCCTTTTTTTCTTATACAGATTCCAGTCTGAATTTAATTTGGTTATTTTAAACTTTTTATAAGCTTCGTCCCTGTCTGTTCGGGCTTGGAATACGAACCTATAAATCCACAGTTCATTGCGGGTTTGAGTTTTTTCCAGAGGTACAACTTTATTTACAGTTTCTGTAATATTTTTCATAAACTTTTCATATAATAGGTCCACATCTGTTGATGAATAGTCCCAATCTTTTCCGTAGAGTTCAGCTATGAGAATGCGAGGAACGTTTTGGCATGATGAACCGTATAGCGGCATCCTAAACTTATGCCGCTGCAAAATATTGGAGAAACGAAACTGTTCGTACATCCATAGCTAGCTAAGTAGATTGCATCCATCTTTTAATAATGATGCAGTTACTCACATTCGGTTTTTGCTAAAAGAGATAATTCTTCGTATTTCGTATTTATGTATCTAGGGCGTAAAGTGAGTAGTTTTTTCCCGCGACATGGAATTCGAGCCCAATGCGCGAGGTGGTATATATATATATACACCAAAATTTACGCTTGAACGTTGGATAGTAAGTTTTGCCCTTTTTTCGTTTATAGAAAAAAGTGGAACTAACTCATATTATACTTTTTGAATGCAAAATATTGTTATTTCGTGGAAATAAAAATATCAGAAAATATCTCATTTTCAAGAAAGGCACGAATATGAACTAGAAAAAACGAATTAATTGTAATTTGGAAGACAGTATGTACTTCATTTTGCCAGAAAATCATGAAAACCGCACGACACGTTTACATTAACGTTAGTTTTTGTTCTACTAACTGAACCAGTTTCGTTTGAACTCTTTCATTTGAATTATGTATTCGTGATTTTGATAAATGTGTACAGTGTCTCGTCTACATGTTTGTGCTAAAATTCCTTAACCACACTTATAGAAAAGAGACAAGGCAACATTGCGTTTTGTTTCGAATTCGTATGTTTTCGTTCACCAATTCCTGCCTCCGAAGATCTGCGACGACCACTGCACCAAGAAAGTGTTTTGGTTTTGCGATATCCACAATTTTTTTCATACGTCGTTTTAATAACGTGAGTGCCCCTTACAGGCAATGCATATAGGAAAAAAAGCACAACGTTCCTGCTAGTATAATACGCGGAAATGTGAAATTGGAATACTCCGTCCGTTTAAACTAAAGCCACCGGTAAAATGGTGCTTGTTTACCTCTTGGTTTTGGGCTTCTGCATAACACTGCAAGCAGTTCAAGCAGACAATGATGGGTCCCTATTTGGAACAGGTAAGTAAAACCTTCCTTCCATAATTAACAGTATTGTTAAAGGTCGTTTATTGTGCAGAAAATTGGCATATCGGGTCATTTTAGCCCTAGGCTGCAGGTACAGGGAATAAATACCTACCTGTTTCGTTTTTTTTCTTGGCCAACAACCTTCAAACAGTTCATCAACAGTGGTAAACTGAGGTCCTTGGACCAGGATGAAGTTTAATGTGAAAAAGTAAACAACTGTGGTAATCAATCAAATGATTGTTTGAACTATGAAGACCTATAAAATGTCTATGTAAATGATTCTATCAACAGGGCAGTAATTGCTATAATTGTCATTTAATCATTTTAAATGTTCTTTTAAAATACCTAGGGGCTAGACTTATGGTTATGAGTGTATAATCTCTGGGTCAACATAATGGTTAAACACAGAATATCATGTTTTTAATAGAAATATAATTTAAGACTCCAATTCTATTATACCTAATTTGAGTTATACACCTGTTTATACATACCTATTCATAGTTGAAATCCAAGCCCTGCATTGCCTAGTGGAAGAAACAAAACTTCCATCTAATAGGATAAGCAACTCACACAAATGTCATGGTTCAGTCCTTCTACACTATTTTTTACAAGTACCTATATACAAGAAAGTTTTCTTTGCCTGTGAAAAATTCAAACTATGCACCTATACTTATGTTTTTAAATAGAATCAGTGCAAAGTAAAAGCTATAAAGCACTAAATATGATTTAAACTTGTGTGCACATTTTTTACCCTCTTGCTCTGTGAATAAAGATGAGTATTTTGTTATCATGATAAACCATCAAATACCAAAGCATCTGGCACTGTGTTTTTATGCATTTAACAATTTACCAGTCCTTGCCATTTAAAAAGATGTAAATAAAAATTGTTTTTTTCTGCAAGGAATTGGTAGTAATATTTTGACTTTGATATTTTTTTCACATAAATGTCAAATATATTTTTAAATGTCTTGAGTACATATTAAACAAGGAGGATGAGAAAATATTATCTTTTCTCAAATAACTGAAAATTATGATGTGTATTCATAATTTTTACTTAGTTTATGTCATGAATGGTTTTAATTTTTTACCATGTAAATCTTCATATTCTCACAAGTTGTACATTTAGACAACTATGAAAATGGAACTTTTGCTATTCTCAGTATTTCTGGAGGTAGACAAAAGAAAATGAATTTACCCAAAATTGTTTTTATTATTTCTTGACTTACTTGAAATAGGATTTCAAAATAAAAAGTAAATTAACATTGCCACTTTTTCTCCTCTACAAGATGGTGTAATTAGAATTTCAAGATGACATTCTGTCTCTTGTGGTCAATCATCAACTTTATTTTTCCTTATAGAGACTGTATTGAATTTTTACATAGGTGAATTGAGTTTTTTATTCTGATATCAATAAGGTATAATTTGTTATACATTGACTTTATCAAACATAAGTTATTTAAAAAAACAATGTTCACATAGTTCACATTGAAAATAACACAAGTTTATGTGATTAAATCACCAATGCTGTATGTTTAAAGGAGATTCAGATGATTTGTTCGTTTATTGATTATAACGAGGGTTATTTTCACATGACTGAGGCTTTTTACATGATACCTCAACCATAGACTATTAGTATTTGAATGCAAGTTGTGTGCATTGCAGATATAAAATGTCTTAAGGAAGTTGCCACATCATCAAGGCTTTTATTTACTCTAATATGTTTCCATCATATAAAAAAATACTGTTTCCAATGTTTTTTATACAACCCTTATACGGGGTGTAAAAAACGTTATGATAGTTATTATTTAAATGTGTGATAGAGGGGATTAAAAGAAGCAAAAAGTTTTATATAACATGGGAGTCAAAACAGAATTTTTTTAGAGAAAAGCGACTTTAAAGTAAAATGAAATCTGACAACGCCCCAATGCCAGACCCAAATTACGATGGAACCCAGTGTAAATAAAGATGGAGTTTGTTATTTTGGCTCTTAGGTATTATTTCATTATTTGATAATGTACTTGTAAAATGCAAACAATTAAAAATACAGACTTACCACTAACTGTCTCAGCACTTCACCTGATGTGTGAAAGTTTATTGAACGTATTAAAAAAATCCACTGATAAATAGGGAACACAATTTTGATACATTTATAGTTTTTCTTTTTAAAACCCACAATGCACTTTTTTGGAATTTAAAGAAGGTGTTCAAAATGTCGTCCTCCTCTTTCCACACAAGCTTCATTACGACGAACCCAGTTTCTTCTCGGTCCTCGAAGTGGTCCATTTATTATTTCAGCCGCGTAAATTTTTTTTTCGCGAAGTTGTGCTTCAGTTGTTATTGGATCAGCCCTATAAACCATCCCTTTAAGTTCTCCCCAATACCATAAATCCATCGGATTGAGGCCAGGAGATCTTGCTGGCCATTTTCGAGGATTAGGAACTTTTCGACTGATCCAGCGATTTGGATAATGTTCATTCAAATACTGAATGACGCCTCTAAAAATGTGTGGTGGTGCCCCGTCATGAAGAAACCACAAATTCTGTCTCTGTTGTAATGGCATGTAGTCTAAGGTTTGTTCCAAAAGTTCTGGTAGGTTATTGGCTAGAAAGCTAAGGTATCCTTCTCCTGACAACTTTTGGGGTAACTCGAAAGGGACCTGATCGTCAAGAATACCCGCCCAAATATAAATTTTAAAATGTTGTTGGAAATGACCTTCACGAATGGTATGAGGATTTTCTTGGGCCCACGTGTGAGTATTATGGAAATTTAATATCCCGTCTCGCGTAAAAGTACATTCGTCCGTCAGTAGAATGTTTTTAAAAAAATCAGGATTTTCAATGTTTTTGTGCAAAAACCACTGACAGAATGTTAGTCTGCGAGGATAGTCTTCTGGTAACAAGGCCTGCACTCGTTATAAATGGTAGGGATAAAGCAAATTTTCTCTTAGGATTCTATGGACTGTGGTATGCGATAGTCCTACACGGCGGCCTAATTCCCGAGTGCTGATATCTGCATTGATTTCCACGATATTTAAAATTCGTTCCTCCTGCTGTACAGTAACCTGTCTTTCACGAGTGCGAATATTAGTGGGCTGAACACTTCCTGTATCTCGAAGTCTTTGGTACGCTTGCACAAATGTGTCGCAATAAATTTGAACTGAAAGATTTGAATTCTGACGAGCTTCACCGTAAACTAACAACATGTCGGCGAGCTCTTGATTCGAGAACATTGTAAATAAACACGACGACGTACGCGAACAAAAACAAAACAACCCGCACGATGTTGTGCTCGACATAACGATAAAGTAATTTATCTATGAAAAACGGTAACTAACGACTGTTATCGTTTGCGATCGATTGCCGGTTCGATAAGAGTGATGAAATACCGACGCGCTGTTGTCATGTGTGTTTTAAATATTTAATTTGATGAAACTTACTTACTTACTGACTACAAATTTTGGCTTAACTTAGAAAACTTAATGCCATTTATTTGTTAATTACCCAATTTAAAAACGTTTTAGATTAGATTATAAAAATTAGTAAGATTGTGGTGGTGATTGTGATCGATATAAAGCACTTAAAGTTGTAAACTATAAAGCCATTTAGACAAAAATCTATTGACTTTTGGACCATGGGTTATATGAAATTTTTGACTTATTTTGACCCCCCCCCATTTCAATAATGACTACCATAACGTTTACACCCTGTATTATACAAAAAAATTACCATTAGGTTGTTCATTATTCAATGGGTTAAGACCAACTATAGAAAGATAACTTTTTTAGATATTGTTGGTTTTACTATATCAATCCATGCCATAAAAATTGACAGAATGTTTGGCTGGTGATATTATGAAATGAAATGAAAATAACTATCAGATCACGCCTAAGCCTACTTAGGAAATTCTGTGTTTTGAAATAACTAAGGTGACATTCTCAATATAAGACATATACATTTTTTTCATACCGAAGCAGCCGCGTAGGCAGAAGGCTAAACACCAGGGCAGCGCAGCTGCTATTAGGGGCTTAACAACATTTTGCTAGTATGATTCTTGAACTGTCAATACCCTAGGGACAAAGGAGCTGTTGATGTACAATGTTTGGCATGGTTAAATTAAACATTATTTACCTGTGCAATATTGCGTCTATAATAAAAACTTTACGTCATGATTGATGACAAGAGATGAAACGTCATAACGAAATTCTAAGTATACCACCTTGTAGAGATAAAAAGTTGGAAATGTTAGTGTACCTTTTATTTTGTCATCCCAATAAAAACGATATTGGGACAATTAGGTTTGCTATCTTTCTCTCTTGTAAGTGCAATTGCCTACTTTCCCCCCATTCAACTCTCTTCCGAGATTCCTATGATGAGGGTCGAATTTGGAACACTCGACGTACTTCCTTCATTTTTCAGTCAGCTATGAAATAAACATAAACCTAAAAGAAGCGGGAGTGAAGAATCCAAGCAAAATTTTAAAGGTGTCCGAGACTAATTTGAAATATTGAATATCATACAAACATGCGGATTTGATATATTTTTATTTGTCCCAGAATGACGGGGTTGCAATGCAAAGAAAAAGTATTAAATCTACATTAAATGATTTTATCGAAGAGATCGTCAGCAATCTGAGATAAAAGTTTGTTTGATTTTAAGCCACTTAAGAACGATATTTGTCTATGACCAAAAATGAACTCTTGAAAAACAAGCATAGCTTGGAAGGTTTTGAAAACGTATGGCCTGTTCAAAAAATTATTAATAACACTTAAAAATGGTCTTGACCTGACATGATTTAGGAAACATAATTTGGACATGATTTCAAAGGTTTTTTTGTTCTCGTTATGCTGGTAGCCATGATTAACAATTTCATCAAAATCTGAGTGAAACTGTTCGAGTTGTAGAGGCGTCGAGGATCCCGGACGATAACACCAACTGCAATGGGTGACACGGATTTTCATCACCAATTTTCATTTTCAACCCTTAACATTTTTTTTTGAAATCAATTTTTTGTGTCATGAAAATTCGAGCGATACTTTCGCGGTTATAGAGGCGTCAACGATTAGAGGACAGACCGACGACAGAGTCGACTTCTATTCGTCATTGTCTGTCAGAGCGGTCCGTAGGACCTTTGCTCTCAGTTGAAGTCTTGTAAGTCAGTAGGTCTAATTGCCCAGATACCAAACAAATTCAGGGAGCAAGAAGGGAAGAAGAAAGAAGGAAGGAAGGAGAGCAAAGAAACAAGAAGTGCGTCAATTTGAGGGGTGCCTTTGCATTGCTAATTAGTATTCGGCAATTTTAAATTGATCCTAAAGTTAATTTTGGGATTGGTTGTTGAAGAAAAATTATAATTTTGGTTGGACCTAAAGTCGCACGATTTAATTTTGTTCACAGTACGAGTCGCGGCCTTGCGTGCTTGCGAACTTGCTCGACTGTGTAGTCTACTGACTCGCGCAACAAAGGGTTGTTATGCGATTCCGCTTGACTATAACGTAGCTGCGCTTCTTGTTTGATGTAGTCCCTTAGATAAGGGATATCCAGGTCTCTGTGAAGGGTCTCGTTGGAAACATACCATGGGGCGTTAGTGATTGTACGCAAGGTTCTGTTTTGCAAAACCTGCAGGCTACGCAAATGCTTTTTTTCAAGAAAACACCAAGCCGCACTTGCGTAAGTGATCGCTGGTCTAATAACCATCTTGTATAGCCGAACTTTGTTAATCAAACTTAATTTTGATGTTCTACATAGCATAGGGTAGAGTTGCCGAAACGAGATTTGGAATTTAGTTTTTAACACATCAGTGTGCTTCTGCCAGGTCATTCCTTTGTCAAGAGTGACACCGAGATACTTAGCTGAGGTTTCCCATGGTACCCGAGCTCCATTCACTGAAACCTCAGACGGGGCGCCGCTACGTTTTTTAGTACAATAGATTGCCTGCGTTTTCGAATGATTAATTTTGATCAGCCACCGATTCGCCCATTTCAATACCTCGTCCACTGCACTTTGCAGCCTGTCGTGAACTAGATCCCCAGAGCACGACTGGGCCACCAGGGCAGTGTCATCAGCATAGAGATGGATTTTCCAGTTGCTGGGGCAAGGGACGTCATGAATAAAAAGTGAATAAAGGACTGGTCCAAGAACCGAAAACTGAGGGACACCGGCAGTACTTTCGTTACGGGTGAACCCCCTGATTACTCGTTCAACAAGCCTTATGGCCTGTAGCTCCGTACTATGCTCAGACCGAAAGCCAAATTGCACGACAGGAATCACATTGTGGTCTGCCGAGAAATTTTCAAGGTGACGTGTGCAATGCGGAGTCACAGGAGATTCCGCTGATGTGCCATGCAGCTCTTCAGTTGAGGAACCTTCTGAAGATTCCTCTGAGGAAAAATCACTAAAGGAGGCACTACTGCCACTGACACCGTTGGCCCTAAATATCTCCTGACGGATCTTACAATATGTTGCTCCTCATCGAGGTCATTATCAAGGTCATAGTTGGGAGAGAACTGACTTTCCATTGCATCAGCGAAAACCTCGACCTTTTCCTCTGTCCTACAGACTATGCCCCTAGGACCGTGGATGTACGGTAGTTGTTCTCGCTTTCCGTTTCTGAGCGACTTTGCAACTTTCCAGAAAGGAATACTTGAGTCAAGCATCCCCGACAGAAAGTCGCTCCATTGCTCATTACGGAATTCATGAAGAGCATTTCTCACTTCATGAACAAGATTAGTTGCTCTGTGAATGTCATCTGGGTAACAAGATCTCTTAGCTTGCTTAATTGCAGCTCTTTTGTCAGAAATTTTCTGACGAATGTCTGCAGGGAGACAGAGTCGGCGCATATACTGGCACAAGAGAGTAGCATGGTATATGAAAACTTCGCGTCAAGTAGGTTGACTCGGCATACGTCTCTTGAAAATATTGCTCGAAGTTTTAAGTCCAGCTGTACTAATAGTTTTGTAGAAGTGCTGGGGTGGAAAGCGTATATACTGCCGTCAAAAAATTGAGATATACCCTCCCCGTACAAAAATTTTCCTTAAAATGATCAGGATCCTCTGAACCTGTGTAAGCTTTTCAAAATTTCATCAGAATCCGAACGGTACTTTCCACGTTATAGGAGGGTCAAGGATTAGTACACAGAGAGACAGGCAGACCTGACGGAAATGAGTGACATGTTTTTCGTGATGTACATGTTCTGTAACATTAAAACACACATCTCATTTTAAAAAATTTTTGCGATTACACATATTAATAGTAAAACCTATCGTGTCGATTTTGAAAATCTTACTCTATTAGCATTTGAAGCAACAATATTTTCACTATGATATTCCTCTTGCATTTGGGAAGTAAGAAGAGTGAAAGTTTTGGTGTGGTTGAGACTTTTTTCAACTATTTAAATGAATGCGGATCTATAGCAACGCACATTCTTATCATAATAATTTTAATTTTATTGTTAGATATAAATTGTTAATAGTTTGGAATTATTCACCAGAAAAAAGTATAATGACATAATTAAACATAATTAATGTTCATTGAAACCTGACACGAACAGGTCCCCAAACAACAACAAGTATTTTTGTGTGTTAATGTGCCAAATTATACTGAAGATAACATAAGGAAAACACGCCGGCCTTGAACTTTGTCTTGAACTTGGCGAACTCTGCTTACCTCACGTTTAATAAGGTAGCTGATTTGTGTTCAATTGAATATCCTTCCTGTATGTGGCCTGTTAAGGTACTTACGGTACTTGTTGGGGTACCCGTATTTCCCGTGATTGCGATCCCGTAATCAATAAAGCACAAGTGTTCATACGAAATGTGTAAAGGGTCAGATTTTTCTCATACAAGGTGGGACAGACATTGATGATTGCATCCTTTTTACTTCCCACGCCAATTGGCGAGGAAGTATTGTAATCGCGAAAAATTTCGATAATGAGACATTCCGTCGGTCTTTCTGTCCACTTATCACTGGCTCTTTTATAACAAGGACAGTACTGCTCGGTTTTTGATCAAATTTTGAGACAAGGTCACTGCTATGCCAAGGACGAAAAAGCTTTGTAGTTTTTGAAAAACGAAAAAAAAGTTCTCACACAACTTCGTTGTTTGACGTTTCAGAGATTCCTGCTCATTTTTGGAAATCTGTTTGAGGGGTGGGGAGTTGTGGAGGTGGGGGAGGGTATGTCTTAATTTTTTGGCGTTGATATACTTATATGCATATAACCCCGGAAATTATAGAGTCGCACATCAGAGATTTCCCGGTATGTTTGCTCTCAAGACTTAGAATAAACAAGTACGATACCCGCGTCGAGCTCTACGAAAATAGGCGTTAAACCTGTAGCGAGGTAGCCTCCGGCGGTCTAGTGATTGCAGTTCTGATCGCAACGTTGCCGATGCTTGTCAAATGGATGCTGACTGTATGACGGTATTCAAAAACCTGGCCATTTGTATTGTGTATGAATGGTTCGAGGACCAACATTTGATGTTTTTTACAGAAACATGCGCCAGCAATCAGTTCCGATGCAGCTACGGCCTGTGCATCCCCATAGCTTGGCATTGTGATTCCAACAGAGATTGTGAAGATGGAAGCGATGAACCGCCAGAATGTCAGCAGAATCAAAAGTGCCGCGAAGAGCAGTTCCAGTGCACGCTTACCAAGAAGTGCGTGCCATCCAGATGGGTGAGTTATTAGTTTATAGCATCGAGGTAGTGTCTAGAGAGGCGCAATTAGAACCTCTTTTAGCTATACAAAACGACGTCAGGTGGGCAGTGCCAAGGGTGACACAGTTGTGACATAACACAGGTTTGACTCAAGTGTCTCATCATAGCTATTCAGCAATAATAAAAGTCTTTTGCTTTCAAAATTTGTCATGAATATCAGTGCTTGGTGCTAAAGGTTGAATCCTCCTCAAAACAAATGTTAACAAAGTTATTCTATTTAATTATGCATAACAATAATAACAATAATTCACTGTACCAAATTTTTTAGCATGAACTGACTGAATTTCACGAATCAACGGTTTCTCTTGTTAATATAATCATTATACTTTAATTGCTAAATTCTTTGTCGGCTAGAGATGGGGATGTGTGTTCGAATTCAGATTCAGGTAATAACGATTCTGGACCTCCTAGCACGACGTCTACGATCCTGTTCGATAACTTCCACGTCTCGGTCGGTTTGATGAGGATAAATCCATCCCAGAATTATAGTGAAATATCGATGTAAACGCCGCAGAAAATAGTGAGTCTACTCACAGATTACTTATAATAATCTGACACCGAAACTATACGGATGAAACTGTATTAAAGTTGCTACCTACTTACTTTATTAAAAACCACTACCTAAAATAACATTCACCACCAACTCAAAAACAACTCAGTATCACATTTAAAATAAGCTCACTATGATCGTAGCGGCACTTGAAATAACTCTGTTCGTAACCAAATTATTAAATACGGCGCTAAGTATTTCCTGAGTAACGAGATGTTATTTATGTATTGTTTATGCATTGATTAACATATTCTTCATGGCGTTGAACCTCCCTAATTAACATTTGTGAATATTTGCGAACGCATCCTCTCAGCCCCATCTCTAGTATTCGTTTTCCCTATACTCTTGACAGTTGATACATATCTAGTGCTGCCAGGCTAATAACAATAAACATGAATAATATGTGTTACCACACAAATGTTTGTTATTTTAACACCTAATAACATTTATTTTTCAATTCAATCAAAAGAGACCAAATTATAGTGTACTGCGACCAATCTAATGTTTATTTTGTTGATCTACCGTGATTTCAGCCTCATGACTTTTCGTTGAACAATTTGATGTGGTTGCAATGGACATCTGAGCTGACAGTCCTGGTTTTATGTATTAGAGCTTTTCCTGTGCTCTTTTTTTCCCAAGAAACATATATACGTTAATTATATGCTTACTGAAATACTATTATTAAAAATATGATTGCCGATTCTTTGTATAAATGTCGCGTACACACAGAGGACGTGTGTTCCAAACAGTGGTTCATATATCTACAAATTACAACATTATATGGTCATTTAATCGACAATTGACACTTGACGCATTTTTAAAAGTATATGGTTGTTTCTAAAATTATAGCTCTCAGGTAAGTAATTCACTGTTATTTTCTATAAAGTGCTCAGTAATTGATATCATATCATTCTAGGCATATTTGATCCACGATTCGGGCAGTGGTTAAAGGCTCTTCCCGATTGGCCAATTTCCGATGCAGTTTTACGAAAACGCTTTCTAATTGGTCATTGCTGATTTGGATCATAGGTTTTGATCTCCGGATCAAACGAAAAAATATATTTTTGTAGCTAAACCAGGAGATTCATAAAGAATTTCCTGATCTAATATGATGATTGTTGGGCCACTAATACACAAGTCGTATATTTTTCCGCTGGTTTGAGAGATATTTTAGAAAAAATTAGATCCATTACTAGAAACGCGCCTTCTCATTGGTCCGTTATGCTCCAAATTAAGGATTTTGATCTCCTGTTAGTAAATTCGGGCCTAAATGTCCGTGTTAATTTTTTAAATCGCCATATTAAAGATTCTCTAACCAACTACATGATGCACATCTCAGAATTCTATTAAATTACAGTGTATATTGCATGATGCAGATGCACAGGCTTATAAACCTATATTATCTCAAAATACCGCTGGCGCTGGTTTGCTGTCTCTGCAACTATCCTCCCGAAAACGTTATTTCCCCGTTCAGATGCCAGAAGTCCGAATAGTAACGTTCAGGAAAGCGACGAACAGACAAAATAGTAATTATGCTACATGGTGACCTTAGTTTTTAAATTATTGCCGATGAAATCACAGAAAACGAAAATAGTAGCGTCAAAGCAGTATATTGGGTGACTCGACATAGTAGCAAGCATTACTGTTTAACTATTTTCACTTGCCTCCATCTAATTGTGCATCATAAGATAATTTCCACAAAATTTATCAGTCGCTTAAGCTACAAGAATAAATAGTGTTTGTGTGCATAAATTGTATCTCTCGACTAAAATAAAACTTGCAGGGTACTTGAGCATTTAATATTTATTTTTAGATGCTAACTACTTCATATGTATACAACAGCACAGACAAGGATTGTATAGAAGACGTGTAGCGAAGCATAATTTAATGATTTGTTTTGGCCGGCGCCAGGTCTGGAAGTCTAATGAGCTTCCAATGTGCGGAAACGTACGAATAATTTATATTCTGAGCAAAAATAGATAGAGAGGTCGCGAGAATTTTCGACAATAATTCATCTTTATGAAGCAGAATTTTTTGATACGTTATGATACTTGTGGTTTTCAAGATCAAAGCTGGAACAGAACATAAAGCTGTTCATAATTCCAAAGACCAGCACCATGCAGAAAAGGCTTAGGAATGAGGTAATGGCCAAGTGAATAATAATAATGAAGTCCTTTTTATTAAGTACATGCAAGTACATACAGATCTAACATCAGTGGCAAAGTTTAGCCATGGACTATTCTGACACTTAACCACTAGTGTGGAAAGTATTACTGTGGCACGAGAAGAGAAAGAAATAAAAAATACAACTTACATGAATAACAAGGTAGAGCAAGGTGGAAATTATGAATTGTTACACACCAAAAAGAAAAGAAAACGCAGATGAGAAATGATGGGCATCAATATTATGCAATGACTATTCATAGTGTGCTCTACTATGACTCATTAACAAGAAACCTTTGATATCTTTCCTAAATTGGTTTAAGGACATCACTTTAGAGCTAGCATCTATGCTGTTATAAATACTAGCAGCATTGTAGGTGAAACTGGTCTGGAACACATTGTATTTTTTTATATACCGAAGCAGCCGCGCAGGCGGAAACCTAGATGCCGTGACTCCGCGGGCTGCTATGAGGATCCCAAAGAAATTTTGTTAATCCGATTTTTGTACTGCCCAAGGCTAGTAGAACTGGGAAAAGCTTCCTCTTGTAGATTGTCCCACAATCTCGACATCTTCGGGATGAATTATGATGGAGAATACTGATTGTCTTTCTATGCCTTATGATTCTATTATATGCACTACCTCTATGATATAAAGGTTCAGATGTAAGCCTCAGCCAAAAGTAAACTTTCAATTTCAGAGTTTAATTAGTTTGAACATCGTGGATATCATCTATATCGAAGTAGTGCGTATCACCGGTAACGGATTGTATCTTCGAGTTGGTGACATTTCTTGGCAAGTCAGCAATATATAAAAGGAAAAGTAGCGGCCCAAGGACCGATCCTTGGGGTATACCATGCGTAATTTTTTGAAAATTTGGTGTTTTTTTGACATGTCTAAAGAAACACATTGAAAATGATTTTATAGGTAACTTCTGAAAAAACTATTCGCTTTTTGATCGAATCCATAGTACCTCAGCTTTGCAAGCAACAAACTAGGTTTGTTTTATCGAAAGCTTTAGAGTAATTGGTGGACACAAAAACTACACCCAGTTTTTTGTCTAAAGCTATGAAGATATTATGTTTGTGGCAGATTGAAGGAAACTCAAGTGACTAGAGTTATCGTTGAAGTTCTAAAATAATGTTGGTCATGATATTGGATTATTAGTACCTAACTATCGAATGCATGATTCAATAACCCTGTGTTTATTGATTATCAATATTTCTGCTAATTTGAATTATATGCGTAATTTTCGATCTGTGATATGATGATGGTTGCTGTATTACTGACTGTCATTGTTATCAAAATTTGAAATAATCTCATCCTTTGATTCCAATGATTGCAGTATTACTTTGGAAACTATTCATGCGACTGACAGTGAACCTTTTATACCCAGCGCGTTTCAGCCGAGATAAAAAAACTCATTAAAGAACACATAAATATTATTACTTATAATGTTAATAACATACAGGCATACCATATGTGTTTACATTCCTTACCAGATGCAAATATATTTTCCATTCATGATACCGAGAATCCGATACAGAGCAACATTAATGACTTTGTTCAGAACGAATACATTTTGGCGTTCTCTCTTATCTCAACCGTATATTACGAAAAAATATTGAAACTAAATATTTGCTGAGTTTCAGTCAGAGATAAAAATGTTGGTATAATTGATATAAATTAATGAAATTATTATTGTTCATAAACAGGAGAATTTATATTTGACGCTTATGCGATGATAAAGCTGTGTATGTACTTTTTACAAAGTGGAGTATAATTTGTACGTGTATGAGAATGATGCAATTTAGACCCGTTTTTTCACTCGAATATTGGAAAAAGCGTATTTGAAATTCGAGTATTGAAAGAAAACTATTTGGATCCTCTGGATTTCCCGTCGATGATGCCATACAACAGAATTTGATTTTTATTCCATACATCAAGCATTTTGTGTCAAATTGTCAACGTTAGAGATTTACCGCTTCTCCTTTAGAAAAAAGTGAAAACAGCGGCAAATTATTTCTGTTCGACCAACTTTTCTTGAATATACTTTATTGACGTGAAGATTAAGCACTATTTAGCACTGACGTACAAGATACCCTATACAAACTATCTGGAATACAAAGTACAAGATACTTTTAAAATGAGTATTTCAGATACCATTTACAAAATACTTTCTGCAATAGTGTCTGAAATAATGGAAACACCATACGTATCTTTTAAATACTTTTTAAAATAAAATACTGTTGTCAGAAAACGACATTTTATTGAGTTTATTTTATTACATCAATTATTTATACATTGATAGCGCAAATGTGACAAAATATCATACTTTTAAGGTTTTAATTGAGACAAGTAGAACCAGTTCTTCAAACGTTTTGTCTTTCATTTTTTTCTGATAGGCCTTACTATCATATCCTCAAAAGAGAAAGTCGTTCTCAGGGGCATACATTGGCAAACAGGTGTTATATTTGAAAAATATTTTTTAAGCTGCTATCTCAATTATTTAGGTATTGCAGTGTTTCTGTCAGCGATGCTGCTAGTAGACCCAGTGTTTTGATTTTACGGTTTTCGCCAGTTGCAATAGAGGAATTGGAGTCTTCTAAAAACATGTAAAATATAAAATGCGTCTTTTGCCTTTTTTATATCACTTCCAATATTATCTAAAGCCGCCAATTTTTGTTTATCAGATGGATTGATTTTTCGTGTTTCACTTAAGGTAAGTTATTTTACATATTCGTGGTCCAAGACTAAAGTTTTAAGGGCGCGTTACGTGAAGAAATGCATATGTAACTGTAGTATTTTAGAAAACATAGTATTTACCAGATACTAAGATACCAAACGAAAGCTGTCTAAACAAAATACAAATACAATTTAAAAAAAAGTATCTTAGATACAAAATGTATTTTCTATCTTGTATCTGCTATTCAGATACTTGTATCTTAAATGTCTATGCTATTTAGTGACGTTATTCTAAAAACACCTTTCATGGAGAAGGGGAAATTCCCTTGTTTTACGTTAGTAGAGGGTCATTGGGTAACATACAAAATTCTGACTCCAGTGATTTTTCTTTCTTGTCCTAGGTGACTTTTACATTAATGAACGCTTTAATTTCAATTATTTTGAATATCAATCCCAGCTTCAAAGTGACATCGAGGAATGTCACCGTATTTTGAAATATTTTCCCTATGGCTGGCCCTATTCAGAACTAACCGGGGTTCTGTGGTTTCATGATATCTTAGTGTATTTCCTGTGATAAAAATGTAAAATTAACAGATGTGCGATGAAGAGCACGACTGTGGCACCCATCCCGAGCTGGGCCCCGACACTTCCGACGAAGATCCGAAGTTGTGTCCCAAAGGGCTGAAGTGCAAATGGAACGAAGCGGCGTGTGGTGAAGGGCTGATGTGTCTTACTATTGCCAAGTTCTGTGACGGCCATGGAGACTGTCCGGGAAACAGCGATGAATGGGACTTTTGTCAGAATTATACTGCAGATTGCACTAGGTAAGACTTAGATGCGCTTTCTGTTATGGTAGTTCAACACCTCAAAAGTGACAACAAATTTCGGCATACAAGCAGAATAAACCCGTGAATATAGCTGCCAATGATGCTGGATACATTTCAATTTAGCTAAGAATTAAATAAATGTTCATTGGTATTAGTTGAAAACGTGAAATTGGCTCTGATACGTTACTAAAATCGAACCGAATCAGTATTACTAACAGTACATAATCAACTACTGGACGTCAGAATGTGGTAGAGCTAATGCTACACTGATTTCTTGCTATGTATGCATGGTGAGAGCTGCAAGCAGCATATGTATGTTATAAATGCTTTACTTCGTACAAATTTCGAAAACGAGATATTGTTTTTTGGATGTTGTTCATCACGAAAAATCATGTCACTTATTTCCGAATGCCTGTCTGTTTGTCAGTCTGTTAATCTTTGGACCGACTATAACTTGGAAAGTACTGCTCGGATTTGGATGAAAATTTCACACAATGTCAAAGATGAAAACGCTTTGTAGATTTTGAAACCAGTCTATTGGCGGCCGAGCTAGGGACAAAAACACACACAAAAAAATAGCTCAAACTTTGTTTTTTGACGTTTCAATTTTTTGGGGCTAGCAATCTATATGTTTCCAACCCAGGCAATTCTACACACCTATTAGTTAAACATATTTCATAAATAAAATATTTTCGCGTATGTGGGCCCTTAAAAAGTTGAATCATAAAGATATGTATATCTTCAATGTACGTGTCGTAGCCCATGTTTTTATAAGAGGAATTTATGCCGAATCTAATCCCTTATGTATTGATGACAGAGTTGCGTAGGAAGTGCGGGGTCAACCTACTTGACGCCATTTTTTTATTACATTTCAGGTTACAGTGTATATACGGATGCAAACCAACACCAAAAGGAGCTCTATGTTACTGCCCAGAAGGGAATAAATCAGATGGAAACAAGTGTGTTGATGCAGACGAATGTGAGCTAGATGAAACTTGCGCGCAACTTTGTACAAATACGATAGGTTCTTACAAGTGCTCCTGCGTTTCCGGTTATCAAGCCAATGGAACACAATGCAATGCAATAAATGGTAAGTCGGCTGAATAAAAAGAAGTGATTGTTTTTACTTGCGAAAAATCAAGCCAATACTCGTTGTGAGGTGAATAATCGAAAGTAAATACTCGTGTCTCAAGTAAATACTCGATCATGAATTATCTAAACAAACATTTCTCAAAACAGTGTCGAGTCAAAAAGTACACATTCTCCTAGTAGATACTGTTTAATACATTTTTATTTCCCATCAGTCCAGGAAGTATCTTCACATCCGCTAAGAAACATATTCTGATTCGGCTTTTTTATAATTTTATTCAGAATATACATTCAGCGTGCACCTGATTAACATTAAAAACAAAGCTTCACGATAACAATACCCTCTAAAATGCTTTGTGATTTTATTAATGGATGTTTGAAGAATACTCAGGAACTTTGGTAACAATATATTTTTCAAATTGTTTTTGGAATCGTAATGGCATATTTTACCATTTTTCAGATATGAACTCGCTTATATATCGAAAACTATCTACTTTAGAGATATCTTGTTTAAACCACTTTTGACGCAAATTTGGGCCTGATAACAGATTCTATAAAAGGGTCCTCTTTGAATAAGATGGGCTAACACATGGTTCGATAAGTCTCGGGACTAACCATGAAAACAGCATTTGTTTCGCAAAATTCTTTTTTATTCATCATCGTAATCGCCATTAAGTACAATGCAATCATTCCAACGTTTTTCGATACCATGCTTGAAGAAAGATTTGTCCTTGGTGTCAAAATAAGCTTCTGTTGCAGCGATAACTTCCTCGTTAGAGCCAAATCGTTTTCCCTGGAGCATCTATTTACAGGGCAAAGAGCCACTAGTCGCTGGGAGCTAGATCTAGATAGTACGGTGGATGGGGAAGCAGACTGAAGCCGAACTCATTCAATTTGGCCATTGTTTTTATTGACTTGTGCGTTGCCCTGATGAAAGATGATTTTTTTCTTCTTCATGTGCCGTCGCATCAGTAACTCAATGTAATAATCGCTGTTGATACTTTTTCCTTTTTTAAAGTAGTCTATTTAAATTATACCCTGTGCGTCCCAAAAAAATGACGCCACGACTTTGCCAGCTGACTGCTGCGTTTTTGGACGCTTCGGACGGCTTTCACCAGCTGCACGCCACTCAGCTAACTGCCGATTTGATTCCGGAGTAAAATCCATTTTTTGTCTACTGTCACATACCGATGCAAGAAATCCTCCTCCGAGTTGTCAATTCGTTGTTGCTTTTGTTCCATTGTGAGAAAACGCGGCACCCATTTGGAAAAGACTTTTTTCATACTCAAATATTCGTGTAAGATGGTAAATGAACTTTCGCTTGATATGTGTACTATCTCAACAATCTCAAGAACTTTCAGTTTGCGGTCATTCATCACGATTTTTAAACCTCCTTAACATTTTCCGAAGTTACTGCTTCATTTGTCCTAGCCGAGCGTTCCGCATCCTTTGTATCAGTACGACCGCGTTTTAAAATCAGCATACCACCGTCAAATCGTTGTTTTCGACGGAGCAGAGTTCGGATAACATTTTTTAAGCCATTGCTGAGCTTGCACGGTATTCTTTCCCATTAAATAACAATGTTTTATCAACACACGAAATTCGTTTTTGTCCACTTTGGAAACAAATGCAAAAGTAACCTCCCTTTCACTGCAGTATCTTTGCTGTTTTGGGTGTGATTGTCGCGAAAATTTCAAAGGTCTCACATGAAGGTTAGCGACTTATTGAACCATGTGAATGAAAACCTGTTGATAGTAATGAATTACTGAAGTTTGTGGGTGCACACTATACTATCTATTGTGTAGGCGGGAGAAATAATATGACTGTGGAAAATTTCCAACTTGGAAGGTTATGTAGCTGGTTATAGGCGGTGGATTTAGTAGTGTTAAAAATGCATATTGCGGTGACAAAAGTTGGAAATTTTCACAGAGCTGTGTGAATTCACTTTAGAAAAGATGCCACGTAAAATGATTTAGATGGAGAAGTTTTGATTTTTCCATTTTGCACGATTTCTATACCAAATTCCAAAGGTCTATAATCTATATTGTTTATAAAGATATTGCTGGAAATACAGATAGTCCTTTCTGAAACACATCATTTTCTGCAGTTCCGGCATCAGAACCCCCATCACTGATATTCTCCACGCAGTCCGAGATCAAGCGGGTAACCTTAGACGGAAAGCCGTTTCCCGGCAATTCGACACTGCGTCTGTTGAACAGCAATGCCCTGGAGTTTATCCATCGCAACCACACTATCTGCTATATTCATCACAATGTTACAAAAGCCTCGATGATGTGCGCTAACATCAACGATCTGAACCAAAGATGGCAGCTGCAAGCCAAGTCCGCCGTTCTAGTAGTCGATTCTATTCAACAGATCGCGCTAGATTGGATTTCGGAGAACTGGTAAGTGGTTTGATCGAACATGAATATTGACAATTTTTTGCATAATACATTTCTCAAGGAAATTGAGGCACCACCAAAAAATTAACCATAACCTTTAGGTAGAAGTATGTATATGATAACCACTTGTCTGTAATTCCTTGTAAATGATGCAGATTTGACATTCAACTTCATTTGATTTCCTAAGGTGGCGCCAGTGCGTCTAGACGTTGCTCCAAAGTTTTTCTGTGATACATCTTCAACCATAAAAGTCCAAAATTTTGAAAATTGACCTTTCGACCGTATAATAGTGTCCCTAAATACCAATATTAGAAGGCAGAAGTTACGAATTTCTGCTGTGAATGCCGAGCGTTAACGCATCATGTGTGGATATAAATTTTGTAATTGTTATTCTTCCCATAAATCTAGAATCTCGATATTTTGTCCACGTTTTGACTTTAATCATGAAAATTGGTCTGATGCTAACCGTAGTATCAGAAGAAGAATTTTGGCCCAGTTTATTCAAGTATGCCTGAAGATGCTTTCCTGAGTAGAGCTGATTCCGATCATTTCGAAAAAATCGCTACCAATAATTCCGAATCCGGTGGTTTCAAATCAGTATCTATGTGAAACGTTGTCGATAACACAAAAAATGCTAGGCAAATATTCCACGTATTCAAGAGAAAACTCTAATACAAAGAGTACTATAAAAGTTTTGCAATACAGTTTTATTTATTGACTTCGTTCTAAGTGATTTGCACCACATTCGCATTCCCCATCCGCAAAAACCAGTCCTTAAACCAGCTTTACCAAGTTTCTTATCGCTAGAAAACCGTTTTCATTTTAGCTTCATTTTCACATGGTGAAACAGTGCAAAGTCGCAGGGTGCAAGATCTGGACTGTAAGGAGGGTGCCCAATAAGTTTCAGTCCAGTAGTGGTGCAGGAGGAGCATTGTCATGGTGGAGGTACCAAGTGTCCATTTTGGCCGCAGGTTTTTCAGAGACTCTACGACTTTAGGCAGGCTCTATTCCACGTACCACTTAGCTGTGACTGTCTTCTGTGGGTCGACACGCTCCACAATTCCGCTCGATTTGAAAAATACAGCTATCATTTTTTTCTTAACAGATCGGTATTTTCTGACAACTACGGGTGTGTCCTCATCATCAAAGACCAAACCTTGTTTTGAGCCTTGGTCGGCACATCGTAATAATAGAGCCAAATCTCGTCACCTGTCACGATGATGTTCACATACCGAGATTGTCCCTTATCAAACATTTTCAGCATCTTTCGGCATCAAGTCGAACGACGAATCTTCTTCTCTTCTGTCAGACTATGCGGTACCCAGTGAGAACAAAGTTTCCTGAATGAAGGTGTAAGGTCTCCTCTATCTGTTGGTATGTCATTCTCCGGTCTTCGACAAGCATTTTCCTCAGATCAGTAATGTTTTTCTCTGTTACTGACGTTCGCGGCCTTCCTTCTCTCTCCGCGTCCTCCAAAGTGAAAATGCCCCTTTGGCATTCTCTGTACCACCTGAATATAGTCGTACGATGAGGACAATCATTCTTTAATGCAAGCATCATTTCTTCTAAGCACTGGTCTATGCTTAAACCATGCGTAAAGTTATACCGTAAAACTTCCCCTTATCTCACTACGTGACCATGATGTCATAGTCCGCACTATTCACTTTAATACTAACAACTAAATCAACAGACGTGCTACTATGCACTCATGGACATGTCTCAACGTTCAGTGACATGCAGCCTCTTGCGTCCGATTGTCAAGTTATGTTGCAAAACTTTTCTACAGTGGACCCGCGGTAATCCGACAAACGTTTTGCAGGGCGATGTCGGATTATAGAGTACTGCCTAAGTCTCTCTATAGCCCGGAACTTTTTGAATAAGAGTACCATGTTATCCGGCAAATTACAAATCAAATAATCTATTTGAACTACCAATCATGCTACATGATTACGTATATGTACAATATATAATTAGGTGGAATTTAGTAAAATAAACATCACAATGGAGAGTTAATATCTTATTATGAGAATAACATCAGTGCTATAGAAATCACTTAAAATAATAACTAAACTTCTTCACGTTAGGAAATAATAATGTTCAAACAAATGCAATTATGTTGTAAAAATAGTGTTTCACAGGATATTATAAATAATCAAAAACTAAAATGCAAATGATAATATGTACCAATCAATTTATAAAATACTTAAATATTCATATGTTTTTATTTTAAGTTGTTAAAGCGCGAGGCCAAAGCTTTGCCCCTTAGTCTTCTGAAAAGTAAGAGCTCTTTGTAGAAACGAATTCCTTGACGACTTTTGGAGTATTCTAGCCGTCCCTTGCTAGCCACAAAGTCATCTTTTCTCATTATTTCCTTATAAAAAAACTTTCGTGGCCAACATAGATCCCGAATGGGCGCGTGCGTGTTTCTTTCCTGAAGAAACATGTACAAAGTTTCTTCAACCTCTGGATGTTCAGCTTTCTTTAGTGTCTGTCTTTTGCCTGGTCCACAGTCAGTAGTTGACACAAATGTTTTAATATTCTCGTGGTTCTTCTTAATATCTTAAGTTGTAGATCAATCTTCACAGTTTTCACTGGCTAAACTGCTGAAGGATTCATTACTACTTGAGCGATCCAAAGTATAACTTTTTTATATAATTGCCAGTACTTTTTGCTTTCGCTTTCAGGCTTGGGAAGTCATTATTAGGTATGCATATGTGACACACAATGAAAAAGCAATGAACCGCTCCCTAGACCGCTATTATATTAGTAAAGATTTGCCGAAATTTTTATGTAAATTCAACAGTAATAGCTGTGTCGGATTACACGGGGCGCCGGATTAGACATTGCCCGGATTACCGCGTGTCCACTGTAGTACCCTTTGTAAACAATGCATTTCATACCGACGAGCGGAACATTTGTCACCGAGTTACACCATACGCGAAGTGTCCATATTTTCTCGAGTTATAGTATAATGGGATCAACAAAATATCTCTGACTTACTTTTAGCAGTTGTGGTACCTCGGTATTTAGACTTTTGCATCCGTCGCTGCTTCGGTATAAAAATGTCCAAAATTGAATTTGCTTAAGTTAACATACATATTTCGCGGTGCATGGGATCCCAAACTATTATTCCTGGTTTATTTTCAGGTATTTCCTAGACGATCAAAGGGACGTAATCTTGGTCTGCACGCATAACTTGGAATGGTGTAACATGCTGATAGACACAGATCTATGGAAACCCAGAGCATTAGCCTTGGACCCTACGAATGGATATATGTTCTTCACGAAATGGGGCCATTCGTCCCCCATGTTAGAAAGGTGCAAGTTAGATGGTTCTGACCGGACGCCATTAGTGTCACATACCATCATATACCCATACGGTGTTGCTGTGGACTATCCAAAGAAGCAAGTATACTGGGTGGATACCTACCTTGATTACATAGAGAAGATTGACTATGATGGTAAAAATAGAAAAACGGTTTTAAGGGGGTTCAAAGTACGAAATTTGTACGGGATAACAGTATTTGAGAATAATATTTTTGTGTCCTCATGGAGGAATAATAGTATTCTACAGTTGGATAAATATGAGCATGACGAAAGGACGATTGTGTCAAACATCAGCAGGCCATACAATGTGTACGTCTTCCACAGGCAACGTCAACCAGATGGTAAGTATATGCTTTTCCCAAAAGTCGAAACACATTTGCCGTTAGAACGCTATAAGTAATCCGTGAAGGCCAAACATTAAGGATATTTTTTCAAGGTATTTGAGTTATGGCTTTTTTCAAAAATGATATTTTTGCTATTTCGGTTGTGAGTGAGATTGAGTTTGTTTTGTGTAAAATCATGTCCATAGCGACTGAGAGAAAAACTACAGTTGAAGATATTTATGGCAATCTGACACTAGTTTTACAAAATTAATTTATAAAACTACTGATGGGTCTTTATTATGAACTACCAAAGAATAACTTTGTATATCTCCATTTTTAGCTGCTCACCCTTGCAAGAATGCAAAAATCTGTGATCATCTATGCATCCCTATGTGGAACGGTAACAGGGCCATACCAAAATGCGCCTGCGCTTCTGGTTATGTCTTGGATGCTAACAATAAATGCGTTGTTAAAACGCCTTCGAAGTTTCTGCTCATATCAAGAAGCGATCCGTTCTCTATCAGAGGCATAGATTTAGAGACAAGCAACGAGACAATGGTGCCCATTACCAAAATGAGCCAACCTAGGGGTCTGGACTTCGACGCAAAGACTGGTTCCATATTTTACGCGGATGCCTATAGTATGACCATAGAGATGGTGCCTATTTTGAATACGTCAAATCATACGGTCTTGGTGAACAACGTGGCTTGTGACGGGTTGGCGTTTGATTGGATATCAAGGTAAGATTGGAGTAGTTTTGTGTTTGATGTAATTTTAAGGCATATGCATACAATACAAGTCTGTAAATTAAGTAATAAGATTGGCAACGTAGCGTTCGATCTGGCGACACTGGAGGCGCCGAGCTTGACGGGGAGACAGGGGAACATGTGATCCGCCTTCAGTACAAGTTTGAGCTCGCTCGAGTCACTTGGTTGTCGGTAGCGATTTTTTTTGTGAAACAGTTTATCCCATTGTGTTCTAATAATGAGTGACATCAACTTCGAGCAACGGTGTGCTATCAGGTTTTACTTCAGACTTGGGCACAGTGCAACGGAAACTCTTGCTAAACAGACCTACCGAGGTAGTGTTTTGTGCAGAGCCCAGTTTTTTCGGTGGTTTAAAGCACTTTCAGGAGGGAAAGAGTCGATTGAAGATGCACCACGAAGTGGAAGGCCTTCATCTTCAAGAACCGATGAAAATATCGACAGAATCCGGGATCTTGTGCGTTCAGATCGTCGGTTAGCAGTCGGATTGATCGGAGAAGAGTTGAATTTGATTTACACCACCGTCCATTAGATCAAGAACAACTGGATGTTGCATCACGATAATACTCCTTGTCACATAGCAATGTCAGTAAAACAGTTTTTGACCAGTAAAAACATTCCTGATTGCTCCTCAGCCTCCCTATTTGCCTAAAATGAGCCGTTACGACTTTTTTCTCTTCCCGAAGTTGAAAAATCACCTCAAGATTCCAGTATCGGAGTTCCAGTACTGCTATGAGGAGTGGAAGAACCGCCTCCAGCGCTGTTTGGCTTCAGAAGGATGACAACATAAAATTGTTATTATATTTGGATAATTTTGTTTATAAAACAGTCTCATCAATTTACAGTCCCTGTAGGTGCTGCCCATGGGTACAAAATCTATAGTGTTTCTCACTGCTTATCTCGTCGCGTCAACAAATAGGAAATATACCTTTCTTGCCATGGTGTTTTGTGTTTATAGAGTCTTATTTATATTGAGGCTTTACACAGCATATAGTTGTAATAGTTGTAACAGTTAGCAACAACATTCAATCCCTGCCTTTAGCAAATAATAGGTAAATAGATACGACGTGCATCAGTATGTAGCCCAGGCACCACGCGCCGTGCAGTCTATCCAAGCTGTTTACTTATGAATCGGATTTTGAAAATCGAAAATGATTTAACATATCTCTATAGCAATAACGAACTTGTCGATTTGATGTTAGTTTATGGTGAGTGTCATCAAGATGCTGCTGATGCTTTGCGAGTTTATTCGGATTGTTTTCTTGGACGTTTCCATCCTGTGCCGCTAAGGTTTGTTTATCTCGTACAAAGATCATTTGTAATGATGTTAAGGTTGAGAGATCTGGATAACTCTAAATGTTGGATATTACAGAAGATGATAGCAAACTTTTTTTGATCGAACAGCAACAAGTTAAAACAGTGCTTAACCAAAATGTGACAGGACGGTACTTGAAATTACTTCAAATGAACTGTGTGAATTTCGGATATTCAACTTTTTCGCTGCTGTTTTACCGCACATTAGTTTGGTTTTTTCAAACAGGGTTACGTTCGTAAATTGTTACGGATTGCACTTTGTACTACCCTGTAACAATTTTAGCGCTCGTAATTGTTGACTTGCGTTCGGAAATAGAACAAAGTAATCCCTCTAGAACGTCAAAAGTGCGCTTCTCTTCCGTGCTCAAAACCTTGGGCATAGTTGTCACTTGTCATTCTCATGGTTCATTTTTTGTTTACTTTATTTGATTATCAAAAAGTACTCAAAAGTGGTAGATTATATATTTTTCACAATAAATGAAAAACATAAATTTTTATTGAGAAAAAATAAGGCACTATTCATTCGTCGAAGTAATTACCATCACATTCAATGACCTTTTGAGCAATGTGGAACCAATTTTTGTATGCCGGTATTCTAGAACTGGATTTGGAGTCATAAAATCGGCGGACTGCATTTGTTACACCATCTCGAGTTGTGAACTATCGGTGCCTCATACAGTGGTCGAGAGACAAAAAAAGGTGATAATCACGGTGCGAAATGTCGGGAGAATATGGCGGATGCGGTAACGTTTCCCAGCCGAGTTCAGAAATTTTTTCGCAGGTCACTTTTGCGGTATGAGGCTTGGCTTTATACTACAAGAATATAACTTTCTTCCGACTGATCAAAGAAGGCTGTTTCTGGATGAGTGCTGCTTGTACTCGTTGAAGCTGCTCACAATACAAGTTAGCAGTGATGGTTTGACCACTTCCCAAAAAGTGGTGCAAGGAAGCCTTGGGCGTGTGTGGTAGCGAATCAGTAGGTGATAACCAATGATACGAACGCTTAGAATTCGAATACATGATCCATTTTTCGTCGCAGGTTAATAACCGATTAAGAAATCGTTCATTAGCGTTGCGTGAAATGTTTGCTGAGCAAATCGTAAAACGACTTAATTTGTTATCATTTGTCAGTTCATGTGTGACCCATTTGCTTAACTTCCACGTCTTTCCTAGCTGATGAAGATGTAAACGAATAGATTCAGAACTCACTCTGAACATTTCTGCAAGTTCTTGACACGTTGTCCTGGAATTTGCGTCCACAACCTATCGAAGATCCTATCGATCAACAACATCAATGGAAATGTGCGATATACAGCAACCGCACGAACTTATTTGGTTACCTGATACATACAATGGTCGCAGAAAACGTGTTTAGGAATTAGTCATGGTGACATCGTCACTACTCCAGAGTAAAATTTTAACGGCCAAATCTACATTCCATTACTGTTTACGGTAAAACGCACCCCTTTGTTGTTTCTCATATGGAAAGTCCCAACTTTCAGCACACCCTGTGATAATGATATCAAGTAATATATCTGCAAAGTGTTTTTTTTATTACTATATGATATTCTTTTCAGGAATCTCTATTGGACAAGTTTGGAAAAGGGCAGCATCAAGGTGGTAAAACTCGCCAATACTTCATTGGTGAAAACACTAATTTGGAATACGACTTACAACCCAGGCTCAATAGCTGTTGACCCGATAAGTGGTTATATGTATTGGGCACATTGGTCTAGTACAACCCCTGAGAATGGAAGAATAGATATGGCGCAGATGGACGGCAAAAATAGGTAACAAATACATTACAACTAAGATGTGAAAAATGATACTATGTCAGTAGAGTATTTTTTACGAGAATCCATTACGACAAATGTGGCAGCAAATAACAGCTGATAATCTAGTGACATTCCAAAATACCCCATATCGGCAAGTGACACACAATTCAAAGTCGTATTTTGTTGTGGTCTTTGGTACGCTACGGATTTATACTTCCTAACAACTTTATAAACAGTTCTGAATACGATTCTAAGTTTTGATCAATTCACACCATTGCTAACATTACATACATATTTTAATACAAAGATGTCACTTGCTGATCAGCTGTTCAGTCGTCAAAACGTAATAGGTATTTACATATGTGCATCTCGCTATTTGTCACCTAATAGTCATGATGAACTTTATCCTCTATATCAGTCTTTCTACTTGCCACGCCATTGGCGATGAAGTATTGTAATCGCGAAAAAATTCTAAAATGAGATTGATAGATGAGTTTTTTAGATGTCACATGACATATACATTATCATGTCACTCATTTTGACACAAGCTTACGACTATGCCAAGGACGAAAAAGTTTTTTAGTTTTTAAAAATAATTCAGTGGCGGCGGACCTACAGACAAAAAACAAAAACAAATTGCTAAAACTTCGTTTTCTGGCGTTTCAGAAGCTCCTCAACATTTTAAAGAAATTTCTGTATGGGCTAAAAGTTGGGGGTTAGAGGCTGTAGTAGGTGGGGGTGTGTATATCTCAATCTTTTGACGTTACTACATTTATGCGCTTCCAGTCTCGGTAAATAGGCATATTTCACACATCATAGATTTTCTCGGACAATTTAAGATATGCGTCGGGGTCTGACCAAAGGGTGGGTGGCGAGTGGCGATGCTAATCATAACAACGTCAAGGCAGATTAGAAGTTTCTAGCGCAAAAAATTATCAAATGGGTGGGTACTATGATCTAATTATAAAGGTCTGCTTTACTGAAGTGGCTTATTCAATTTTTTCTTGTTATACATTTTCGTAGCTATTTTTTTATCAGAGGAACTAGCTTTGCCGCACATAATCCTTTATGATGACAGCGTTGGATGGGAACTGCAGAGTCAATCTATTTTACGCCATTTTGTTATCCCAGGAAAGTATTTTTGGACCATAACATCCACTGGCCGAGCGGCTTGGCGATTGACCAAGAAGCAAAGCGATTATACTGGACAGATAAGCACCTGAAAAACATTCAAAGTATTGATTTTGATGGCACAAATCGGAGAGTGGAAACTGTCATGGCATTGGAATCTCCAGCGGGTCTGGCAGTCGGTGTGGGGTCACATAAGCTTATTTATTTCATCGAAATGTCCAAAGGAGCTATTATGGCCTACAGTAATTCTACAGGATTGAAGAAAGTGTATGATAGCAGCAATTTGCACATTTACGACGTTAAGTTGTATGATGCAGAGTCTCAGAAAGGTAAGTTATAATCACCAATCCGAAACTCACGTCTCTAGTTAGGTGTACCAGAGCATTAACTAGTACAATAATTTAAAATTCATGCACCATGACATTTTTCACCACTGGAGTGAAAATTTTGACAGGTTTTACCCAACAAATTCCAAAGTGACCACGTTGTTCAACATAATCATAATACTTACTGGTGGAAAGATCTACCTTCATTTAGTTTGTGCTGCTCGCTGCAAATTATGCAAGAGGTCCACTTTTAGTGTGCACTTCATCCCGAATATAGACTGAGATTTTGGAGACAAACAAATCGCAGCCTTGCTTTTTCTAACTAGTCAGAATTCATTGGCTGGACCCAAAGAATTCGAATAGGTTAGGAGCCAGTCCTATATGTTTACCTTGCATTATTTGTCACCAAAATTGCGTAGTTTTAGTGCGTTCTTCATTTGTCTACGAAAGTGGCAGTGTTGTATCAACATAATACTTACCG